CACACACACACAGAGACACACACACACACACAGACACACACACACACACACACACACACACACACACACACACACACACAGAGACACACACACACACACACACACACACAGACACACACACACACACACACACACACACAGAGACACACACACACACACACACAGAGACACACACACACACACACACACACACACACAGAGACACACACACACACACACACACACACACAGAGACACACACACACACACACACACACACACACACACACACAGAATCTAACTCTTCACTTCCTGTCTCTCAGTCGTTCTCTGAGATGTTTGTAAAGTTCCTGGAGATTGAGTCGACGCCCTCTCTGCCTGCACCGAGGCTTCCAGTTCACGACATCAAGCCTCTGAGCGCCCCGCCTCCAAGAAGAACCGCCGCTCCTGCCTCCAGCACGGCCACGGGTAACCCCCCCCCGTGAAAAACCTCCACCATCATGTTTCCCCGCCTCCTCATTTCTAAGTATTCTCTCTCCTCTCCTCTGACAGGAGCTGCAGCAGCCGGTAGGCGAGCCGGGGACTCGAACCCCTTCCTGGCGCCGCGCTCCGCTGCAGTGCCCCTGCTGGCCAGTTCAGGTTCTGCCGGCTCAGGTGGAGGTCACCTGCTGATGAAGCCGATCTCTGACAACCTGCCCACCTTCACACCTGTGCCGGTCTCAGCGGAGGCCAGCGCTGGAGCCGTGCTCAAAGACTTGTTGAAGCAGTGATCAGAGAGACGCGCTCATGTTGACACTACACAGACGGAGACTCCTTTATCATTCCTACTTAAAGTCTATAAAGGTTATTCTGGTGTTTTTAAATCTGGGACTTTTGGGTCTAAATGACCGACAGGTAGAAATGTTTGCAGGTTGTGATGACATCATCTGAACCTGCCGGCTGCAGAATCATGAACTGTAGTGAACACGATTTGATTTGGTGCTTTCTGTCTAAAAGAATATTTTACAGCCGTGAAGCAGAGGACACACTGCACGACTTCACGCCCATTAGTCAACCAGGTTTTGAGTTAAATCACTGAATTTAAAGTCTGGCTAAATGTCAGCTCGATGTGCGTCGTCTGTGCTCATAACGGACCGATCAGCTGCTCCCGACCGCTCGGATGATTTTCTATCATGTACACAGTCAGAGCCGATTTACAGCACACACAAACTGTCAGAGTCTAAAATCACCATGGCAACAGCAGGCCTGTTAATAACTTTTCGTCATTTGACCCCAAAGATAAAAACTAAAACAGATCAGTGTTTTAAAAATACCAGATTAACCCATTAATGCTCCCTTTGTTTGGGGGGGGGGGGTCATACTTTTTTTTTTAGGTTTTTACTTTGAGTTACTGTTCTATGCATCAGAGTCTCCCTTTACACATCAGTACCAGTGTTCACACTCATGTGAACTCACTCATCACTACTGTCAGGTGCTGACACACGAGTTAATAATGTTCAATGAAGAGACTCCATGTGCACGAGGGGGGGGGGGCAGTTTGAGCTCGTGGGTCCTTTAGATTGAAAGCTGCAGAGTAGATTTTCATAGAAAGACTTTTTTTGATCATATCTGAAGTTTTTGATTTGTATTCATCGCTCAAGTTCCTCGCACAAGTGATCTTGTAAAGTGGCGGTGTGCGGCTCCATGCGTTCATCATCCCGTCTCTCTGCAGGAGGAAACACCTCGTGTGTCCTCCACTTTCCATTCTCTGACCCGCAGCCTTCACTCCTCGTCCTCCCCGAGCTCTTTCTGATCCAGGACTCTCTGGCAGCAGTCGCCTGTCTGCAGATTTATGTGCTTCACTACATCTGTTAAAAGCATAAAAAGACTTTTCTGCTAAATCGTGTCTTTTCCAGACATCCAGACTGTGATATGCAATAAGCGTTGTAACTGTGGCTGCAGCCTGCGGTCGATCAGAAGCTGGAGACTGCTCTTATTTTGAAGTACAGTACTATTATATAGTTCTATTATATAGTTCTATATATATATATATATATATGTGTGTAAATGGGTGGGTTTTTCTTATTTATGGGCACTGAGGACGTTCTGGAAGTTAAGTGCCTGCATTTTTTGCTAATTAGATGTAAAATCAGGATTGTAAATGGTTAATATAAATATATATATTTACAAAAATGTAAAAAAAACTGCACATTGAAGAAGTTTGACCTGACCAGAGCTGGACAGCGGGACACTGAGCCGCTGGACGTTTTTTAAAGGCATTGATCAGCTGCTGCAGCAGGAATGTTTCAGCGTCTCTCCAGGTGGATCTATGAAATGTTTGAGCTGTCAATCCTCGCTGTGAAGGAACTTTTGAAAGTGCAACATTTGAAACTGAGAGGCATCAAAACATTCGGATTACTTTGATCTTTTCCTGAGGCTAGTACCCTTCACTTCATTGGAAATCAAATAAAGGTACTGCTGACCCCTAACTGCTGCGACACGTCATTTTTGTCTCCATAACAAGTTTTTATCAAACTCTCTGAAAAGGATCACGTTAAAGACTTCTGAGTTTAAATAAACTTCTGTATTCTCAGATTTCTCAGTATGCCCATTCAGACTGCCGTATCAGATCGAATGTGTGGATGAATGTCCGCTTAGGGCTTCCATAGCTGCAGAGTCGTGAGGTAAGTAAAAATGTGACAGTAAGAATTCTGTCGATTCTTGCAGAGGAAGAAAAACAACTCACAAATAATTTTGGGGTGTGGGGGTCCAGTAGCTCAGTCTGTAGGGACCTGATTAGGGAGGGGGGGGTGGGTGTTCTGGTTCAAGTCCAAGTCTGTGAAGTAGATGGAGAGGTGTCAGTTCACTTTTTGAGCACTACTGAGGTGACCTTGAGCAAGGCACCAAATTCCCCACTGCTCAGGTGCTCCTTCATGTGCAGCCCCCCCCCCCACTCTGAAATCTTTCCACAGGATCGTGTGTGTGTGTGTGTGTGTGTGTGTGTGTGTGTGTGTGTGTGTGTGTGTGTGTGTGTGTGTGTGTGTGTGTGTGTGTGTGTGTGTGTGTGTGTGTGTGTGTGTGTGTGTGTGTGTGTGTGTGTGTGTGTGTGTGTGTGTGTGTGTGTGTGTGTGTGTGTGTGTGTGTGTGTGGGGGGGGGGTTCTGTTTGTATCTACAGAAAACAGACCCTCACTGTGTCTGTTTTCTGTCTCTTTGCCCCCCCAGCAGCAGCAGCAGCGCAGGAGGAGCCGCCTGTCGGAGGGAGCTCCGCTGACCGGAGGGGGCTGGCTCTCCGTGATTGAATCCAGCTGTGGAGAAGGAGCTCGGAGGGGGCCCGACACATTTGCATTGCTTAATACTGCTGTAGAGCGGGACAGAGAGGGGGCGAAACGGGACAGTCCGGTTCCAAAAAGACATTAGTGCAACACTCGGTCCATGTTCCGGAGCTCCAGCTCGAGCAGCTTAATGCAAACCTGCTGTCGGCCTTCGCGTAAAGGCGCATAGTTGGGGGGGGGCGGTGAGAGCCCTGCTGGGGAGTGGACAGGGGATCTGGGGAGAGTTTACGGGTCGTCTAAATCTTTCCTTTTCGAGAAACCATGCTCCCTGAAAGACGTGGCTTCACGTCTCGCTCCTCTGTAAGGTCAGTGTCTTTATGTTTCTGAGCGCTTTGAATGAAGGATGTTTAAGAGATCATAACTCGAGCTCTCCTCTCTGCAGGATGTTGGCAGCTCTGCTATTTATTCTGCATTGGATCCAGCCTGGACACGGACAGGTAAAAGAACACCTTCCTTCTCTGAAGAGAGTTCTTTCACAGATTTCATTCATTCACACCGTCTGCACATATATATGTCATCATGTCATCTTCTGTCCATGTAAGAAGATGAAAAAGCTGATTTTAACTTCTGCTCTTTGCATTGGAAACTCAAAGAAGACATGCACATTAATAATTTAGTTCCAGCTACAGGTGATTTTTTTTACCTGATGCACATGATTCATCTCAAACACTTGATTAGATTGTTTCCACATCACCTCTCTGATCACTGTGCATGCACACTGACACCTCTACCTCCCTGTAAAGTATTTTTACATCTCACATATTTGAGGATGCTCTTTTGTTCCTGGACTTTTCTCCTCTGTATTCTATTTGTGAATGGGTTTGTCGATTTCTCTGTCGCTTTATTTGCTCTGATGCTGTGATGTCACACTTTCCCAAGTTGGGGTCAATAAAGTTAAACTTTCTTTTAATCTCCTGACTGTCTCTCCTCAGACCTGCACAGAGGGTTTTGTATATGACCGCAGGGCGAGACAGTGCATAGGTGAGTGGCATTGCTTTAAATCAAAGGTAATTAAGAGAAACATGTAACTCAGAGGAACACGGTGCAGAGACCTGCATATATCGAGAATCTCACAGATGTTCTGAGCGCTCTCTTATCAGTCGCTCTGTGTTCCAGATGTGGACGAGTGCCGGACCCTGCCAGACGCCTGCAGAGGAGACATGCGCTGCGTGAACCAGAACGGGGGTTACCTGTGCATCCCAAGGAGCTTGTACAACCAGCCCTACAGACCGGAGACCCCCGACCTGCCCGAGCCCGCCTACCCGGACCCGTCCCTTGGATTCCCAGACACCTTTGTTCCAGCTGTTCCCAGATCTGTGGAGCCCAGTTACCCCAGAGTGAGGACCACAGCGCCGTGCATCCTGGGATACACTCTTGCAGAGGATGGCACCTGTAATGGTGAGTCGCTTTCTGCAGACGTCCCCTCATGGTTTTAAGTTGTGGAAGAATACTGATCTTTGTCAACGTTTAATTCAGAGCCTCCAGATTCTTTTCATTTGAGGAGTTTCTGGTCATCTCTTTGCTCTCACTTTATGGAAGTTTTAGCACACGTACTATTGTGGCATACTTTATAACCTGTTGCAGCCTGTTGTTTCATTTTGTGATAACTGTCTGCATTAAAGGAGCAATATGTTACTCTGGCCCCTAGTGGTTAAAATGGAACTGCAGTCCGAATTCTAAACATCAGCAACACCTCTCTAGAATCGATGCTCACTCAGGTCACCATGTGGTGGACTCTGAAGCTTCAGTGTTTATCCAGCTCTGCATGGGTCTGTAAACCTTTCTGTGTTCTAACCTCTCTCCATTTTTCAAAAGCATCTCCAATATTGATCCTAGTTTGAGCACGTTTCTGCTCGTGGAGCTTATTAGAAACATGCAGAGGCTTTTTAGGTCGGGTACAATCACTTCTGTCTGAACCACTTCTCTTGACCGCTTCCATCACTGCAACACCTGTTGACCTGATAACTGCTCTCATATCTGGCAAACAGAGGGGCGTCCAAAACGGCCGTGTGGGGGCGTGTCTTAAAAGCGCCTACCTTCTCTGGTCCAAACAAATCCAGAGCATTCAGGAGCAGAATCTAAAGTTAGAAGGAGGACATACTGGCTGCTGCATTGTTGTCAGAGAAGCCAGCACTTCAACATAGCATGTTTCCTTAATGATCAGAGAGTAAGATACCTTTATCATCTCACTCTCTACACAGCTCACTGATTGGACCTTTAAAAGAAGTATTATTTATCCTAGTGAGTCCTGTACTAAAATCCTGCTCATATAAATAAACATAAATATTCCCTTCTAAATGTTTAAAGTCAAAAATAACTTGTTCTGCAGAAAAAGATCATCTGAGACCGACATGTTATTATAAATAAACATTACTGATGCTTTATGTGTGAGTGCTGAAGTGGAACACATTTGGACTGTCTCTGGTTTGTATAGAGTTTCAGCGTTTGCTCTCCTGAGTCGGTAAGAAGGTCAGGAGAGAAGACGAGAACAGAGTTCAGACTGTTGTTCTCTTCTGAGCTCTTTACTCACCTTTGCTTTTGTGGTGAAAGCATTTTGTGATTTTACCTCTTTGGATCTCGAACAGACAGTAAATGAAACCATCTGAGGGATTTATAGAAGAATTCTCTTTGATGAAACTCCATAACAAACACATTGACATGTGAAACGTGTCAAAGGGCCGAGACCACGAGGTCCAAAACCAGAAAAAAAAAAGTACAGCATTGAGCGTTGTTGTGTAAAATCTTTATTGGTGGAATAACGAGCTCCTCCTGCAGTCAGATAAACGTCAGAGAGTAAAAAAAAGATCAATATCTGTTTCTGGGATGTTGTGGAGTAAAAGGATGAAGCTGCAAGAATTTCACTGACCTAAACCAACAGAGTCACATCTCCACACTCAGATTAACTGAAACCTTCTGAAGCTTTACGTCTCTGTTTGAGGACATTTTCAATCTTCAGCTCTCGTTTATTAAATGTTACCCCACAAAGGTTTTCAGTCGTTTCACTGAAAGCATTTCTCCACAGAGGTCAGGGTCAAACATCACAGAAAGCAAACGTTGCTGCAACAGCAGTTCAGCTTTGATCTCTTAATATCTGATTGTCAGAAGTTTTATGTGTAACACACGATCGTCTCATCAGGAGAGTGATTACTCCTCCTCAGATGGTTTGATTTAAACCTCATAGGGGTCACAATAGTCAAAATGATTCTTCAGTTCATAAGAAATTGAGCAAAGATTAAGACAAAAGAGAAACTTTATGTAAGAGAAATAGTTTCCAGACGATATGCCAAACCTGCACAGAAACTTCAAAACACTACACTATCAGTTGAGTCATTGCAAACCACAACAGCTTTTAGTCGCACGTTATTTTGTGCACGTTATTTTATTTTGATTGATTAGAAATAATCAATCAAGTCACTGATAGTTTCATTTTGTTTTGCAGATCATTCAGAGGCAGAATGTTTTATACAAAGCTAAAAACTCCTCACAGGAGCTTTCAGAAAGTCACAACCTCGTCTCGCAAAGGTTGTCTGTAAGAAGGGATGCAGCGATGACATCGGTCCGATGCTGACGCTCAAAGCTGGGTCAGATATATCAGAGTCAAAGAGGCCGATACTGGACCAGTCTACTCATTCAGCCAGGTGCAGTTCTTAATGCATCAGCAGCGGTCTGGGTTATTCTGCTCAAGGGGAGAAGGAGAAGCTAACATGAAGGCGTGCAGGGAGCTTTCTGGACAACTATCCCTTCTAAACCTTTTCTGCAAAGATTCTCCATTTTGTTTAAGTCGAGCCGGACGAAGAAGAAACATCAAAGTCTGCATGCAGTTTATGATTAGACGCTGGTATGCCAACGAATCAGCTCTTACCCAAAGCCTGCAGGCATCAGTGTGGAGATTCACTCTCAGATCATCTAGAAAACATGGAGGTCTTATTTAGTATGACGGTCTTGTCTTGAAATGGTATAACTCCAGAATTACCTGGATGAAGCGCTACACAGTTGGGTGGTATCTGTTCCCTGCTGCAGCAGTTTTACTTCATCTTTAATAAAAAAAACCTCTGCAGGAGAAGAAAGAAAGAAGACATCTTGCCACCTCCTGCTTTTTATCAGACGTCAGAGTTAAATCGTAGACGAGGTTACACGAGGCGACGGTGGCCAGAGATTCTGTGTTTGTCGTTAAAAACTTGTGGTTGAACTCCGGGGGAAAAAAACATGAATCTATCAGATCACAGATGTTGCAGCGTTGTGTCTGCAGAGAGGGGAGCTTCGACTCCTCTCGGTGAGGAAATCTCTGCTTGATTCTGTTGGATTTCACAACCACAAAAGATCCCAGCTGTCAGATAAAAACTACACGGCTAATACCCCCCCCCCCCAGCTGTGCAAAATACGTAATTACCCGAGAGCATCCAGCCAGGAGAGGCTGTCGAAAAACGGCCTCCTTAAACTCCATTTTCGGTGTTTTTCTCTCGTTCGGTAATGAGTGGAAAATGCACACATATAGTCGCTCTATGGAATGCTTTAGCTCATGCACAAATACGGACTGTTTCTCTTTTCAGTGGAGACGGCCTGTCAGGGAATCGGCTCACAACCTTGTTTGGGTAAATGACGCCATCAGAGTGCCAAAGATGAGGTCATTTGTTACCAAAATCGGTGCCCGAGCCGTCCTGGAGAACAGGCAGGCCTCTGTGGGGGCCGATCGTAACGACTCCTCACACCCTGAGACTGGTCCGTGTGTGTGTGTGTGTGTGTGTGTGGGTCTCTGTGTGGGTCTCTGTGTGTGTGTGTGTGTCTCTGTGTGTGTGTGTGTGTGTGTGTGTGTGTCTGTGTGTGTGTGTGTGTCTCTGTGTGTGTGTGTGTGTGTTTGTCTCTGTGTGTGTGTGTGTGTGTTTGTCTCTGTGTGTGTGTGTGTGTGTGTGTGTGTGTGTGTGTTTGTCTCTGTGTGTGTGTGTGTGTGTGTGTGTGTGTGTGTGTGTGTTTGTCTCTCTGTGTGTGTGTGTGTGTGTGTGTGTGTGTGTGCGTGCGCATGTGTGTGGTGATGTAATGGGCTGTTGATGGATGTAGAGAGCAGAAATTACACACACTTTGACTTCCTGTCTGATCCTGCAACAAACACGGCTTTGTCTTTAAGTTAATGGCGCTTTCCTACATCAGGAACGCTCATGGCAGCACTCAGGTGGAATTTTTTTCTAATCTCTATGAACAGATCCATACAAAAGATAAAACGTAGAATCTGAAGGCGTGGAAACAGCTTTTGGCGCCAGAAGTTCTGGTTTCGTTTTAGTGCAAGTCATATCGTCCACTCGTGTTTCCTCAGGCTTTAACTTCTTGCAGGACAAAAGTCAGCGTGGAGAGCAAAAGAGGCAAAACCCAAATGGCGAGTATTCTTCTGCTCTAATCTGACACGATTCAGCCTGAATTCACATCTAGAAACAGAAATCTGCAGCTGATGATCCATCCTCAGAAGACGTTTCTCAACATGCTCTTTTATGAAGTTACATCTGTAATGTAGTGAGACGATAGACGAGGAGTTCAGCGATCAGCGACTAGTCGACATCGACTTTAACAAACCTGAAGACGTGTAACCTCCAGACCAGCAGCCGTCGTCGTTTGTAACCAAAACGCCTCAGTGCTGCTCGAACCTGCCTCGTATTAGATAAACAGCTGTGATTGGCTCGATCTGAATCAGGTCAGATGATGAAAGAGAGAGAGGGACCAGATGGATCTAAATGAGAATGAAACATGAAAAGATTCATGTGGTGCCCCGTGTGAGGCTGCAGACTTTGTTTTTTAGTGTCATTACTTGAGTCAATGCAACAGCTTTGGACGCAGACATCTCAAAACTCCAAATTTTTAAATCCAATTTTTTAACCCATTAAGGTGAACATAGATAGCTTTAACTAGCTGTCATATAAACAGGAAGTCGGCAGTGTTGTAGGTCAAATAAGTGAATCATGCCTCCAGAGTTCAGCTCTCCCGTCGTGTTTTTCATCTCTCACACTTCATTTCCGCTCTTCTTTCCAGGTTTGGGGGGGTTTCATGTTTTCACTTGAGTTAAAGGATTACATGCTCCTCTGTGGCTTGAGAAAATATTCCAACCTTGTGGGCTTCTGGAACCAACTCAAGCTGCAACATAGCTGACCTGAAAACAAAAGTGTCTATTGATCAGGTTCAGTGTGTGGAGGCTTTTTCAGAGGGTCGACAATCAACACAGCAGACACATTAGAGGGGAAGTCTCCATTGATGATTCAGTCTGTGTGAAAGTCTGCATCTTTCTGTCCTCCAAACGTTGAAGTTTTCTCAGTCTTTGCTTGTTGCTCCAGACATTTCAAAACCAGTCACATGAGCCGGTGGCGTCCCCAGCAGCTCATGGAGCCGCCTTTATAAGGAGCTGAAGTGTGTGCACGTTGGAGATCTGCAGCTACGCCACACATGGGGTGCAGATGAAGACCATTCAGAGGTTTTCTCTGCTAACTGCATGCAGGTGCCAGGGCCATGTAGCTGTTGGCCTGGGTCCGATCACCCTGGGCTCCCCCCCTCCCCCTCCCCCCTCGTGAAGGTCCACTGGTCCAAGTTGGCACAAAGGCCGGCGGTCCCACTGACAGACGTTATCGCTTATCAAAGCTGCCTGAGCAAACAGAGAGGCGAGCCCGCACCCACTTCCCCCTGCCGCTTTCCTAGAGATCTGTGACTTCATGGCCTGAGAACCACAAACAGAGGCTGGAATCTTTTCACTTGTCACATCCTCATAAGGAAATGTGCCCATTCTGATGAAGTGTGAGAGCTGCTCCGAGGGCGGCCGAGGAATTCAGATTGTAATCTGAGAATTCTTTAATCCAGAGCAAAAACAACTAAAGTGCTATTGAAATGTTCATGTTGTGATAAGAGTTTTTTGGGCACAGGGCAGTGAAAACTGAGTGTTGGAGAAACAGACCTTTGATTACAGAAGTCGCCTGTGAAGTCTCAGAGCCAGCAGAGCAGATTTGCTTTTGAGCAAGGCATGCAGCAACCATGAGAAGATTTATGATCAGTGTGGCGCTTCTGTGCAGCAAATCCAGACATCCACACATCACTCAAAGTCAGCTGCAAAGTGGGCGAGCGACAGAAAGTGAAAAGACGAGAAAAAACAGACGAGACTTGAGCTCCAGCATGAAACCAAAACAAACCGCTGTTAGGCCACGCCTCCTCCATACTGAAGCCTCCGCTCTCCTCTAGAGACACACCTCCAACCCCACCCCCACTTGCAATTCACATGGAGGAGTCTGACACAAGCGGCGGACAAACTTCTGTCCTCGTCTCGAGCTGCAATCACCTGTGTCCTGCATTGTTGTATTAGCATGCTAATGTTAGCGCTCTTTAGTTAGCTCGTAGCTTCACATTGTTGTGTTAGCATGCTAATGTTAGCGCTCTTTAGTTAGCTCATAGCTTCACATTGTTGTGTTAGCATGCTAATGTTAGCGCTCTTTAGTTAGCTCGTAGCTTCACATTTCATGTAAACTGACACAGAATGAGCGTGATCTAAAAACTCTTACTAACATCCAAATAATCAGTGAGTATGTTCTTCTTCTTCTCTCTAGTTCTTGACTAAAACAGCTTTTATACACAAGGGGAGGAGCCGGCCGTCCCGTCCATGTAAACACGGCTCTGACAACAACACAGCCAGCGGGACTCGAGCTTCTCCCTCATTGTAGACAGTCAGGACTCAGAGACACATTTACACAGGACAGACTTTATGATTTATTTATGTGGAACATGTCGCACATTCCTCATTTAATGCTTTCCACTGACTCGCTTGTGTTTACATTTTTAAGTCTCATTTAAAGCCAAAAACAATCGACTCGTCCTCTCTGCCTCTTCAGGCCTCTCCGTGTTTTCATCAGGAAATTAAAGAGCTATCTGTTGAATCTTTCATTTAAATTCAACGTTAGAATATCTGTCTGAGTGTCATCGGGTCGAGTCAGTACGATCACACGATGTTGTTAATAAAATGAGAATGTAAATATGAGAATGTCTCTCTACAGAGCTCAGTATCTCGGCCTGACGTCCCAATGTCGAGAAATTTGAGACGCTGATAAAAAAGTTATAAAACAAAATCAAAACTTGAGCTTTTCCCTTTTCACATAAAAACAATTCAAATGAATCTCTAAATAGACAAACCTTTTTGATTTATGCAAGTTTACACTCTTGTCTCTGTGTTTCAGACATTGATGAATGTGAGACAAACTCTCATCACTGTAACCCGACCCAGGTCTGCATCAACACAGCAGGTGGATACACCTGTTCCTGCACGGAGGGATACTGGCTCATCGGGGGACAGTGTCAGGGTAAGTAAGCTCCATCACACTCAACATATAGATGTTTCTTTTTACACTTAGTAAGCAGTATGTAACTCTGAACCCTAGTGTTTAAAATGGGGACTGCAGTACAAATTCTAAACATTGTAGAGCGTTGTCTCTCCAGCTCTGCATGGGTCTGTAAACCTTTCTGGATAGTGGATTGGGGGGTTTGTAGACAGACTAAGGACACATATGACCGTTAGAACAACATGATGAGGTGGATTTTACAGAATATGTGACCTTTAAATTAGACTAGGTTTATTTGTTGTCTCAGAGAGGGAATGATGCAGAAACAACATGAAGCTGGGTGCAACTTGATGTGAAAACAAACACAACACGCAAGACTAGAAACCATGAACACAAATCAACTACAGCTTACATTATGGTGCATTCAAGGAAGCTCTGACATATGAAAGTCAAACTTTGGTTACAAAAAGGTATCACATGCTCAAATCATTGAAATAAGAGAGTATTTATTTTTTGTTTTGTTTCATAATCAGTTTGTCTCTTTTTTTTTTCCGACCAGATATTGATGAATGTCGCTATGGTTACTGCCAACAGCTGTGTGCTAATGTCCCGGGCTCTTATTCATGCTCCTGTAACCCCGGCTTCATCCTGAACCCCGACAGCAGGACCTGTCAAGGTACGCATGGCAACTTTTCTTTGTTGGCAGAGAGACAGATAGACAAGCAGGTAAGGTCAAAGGTCACTTGGGTGGGAATAGAATCTTGAGTTGATTTGAAGTAATGGCGGCTGGTGCTTTGATCGCCAAGGGGGGAACAAATACTTACAGGTGGACCAGGATGTATGTCTTAGTTTGTTAGCTTGATGCTAACACATGACGGAAAATGCCATTAACTGGCTAACAGAATTACAATTACGATAATCTTAAATTTGAAACGACCTATTTTACTGAACATACTCAACAAACATGCACTCGTACTTACAGACATCATGTTTCCTAAACTCTGTAGAGACTAACTTTAAAAAATGCTGAGTCATGCTCGTCTGGTCTGCTGCTCTGATCCAGTGACGCTGCATGACTCGCTCACAGCAACACAGGATATCATGAGGGGCGGAGCTTATGACCTGTACTACAGCCAGTCAGCAGGGGGAGCTCTACATCTTTTGGCTTCACTTGAGGCGATGTGTTCTCTGTCCATTCTTTATACAGTCTTTGGTACAGCTTTGTATGAACTTAAACTTGTGTATGTGTGTCCCTGCAGACGTGGACGAGTGTAACGATGAACCATGCAGTCACGGCTGCTTCAACACTTACGGCTCCTTCATGTGTAACTGTGACGAAGGATTCGAGCTGGCGGCTGACGGGACTTCCTGCATCGGTGAGACCTTACTATTTAAAGTTTTTTAACGTTTATTAATGTACAACTTATGAAATCCTTTTGTAATTATATTTGGAAATGTTAACAAAGAAGAAGAAGAAGTCCTGTGTTCATGTACTTATTACCGTATGTCAACTTCTGAAGGACGGAGAGCAGATTACATTTTTGGGGGGAAAACAAAAAAAGGAAGAAAAAATCTTTTCGAAATTGGGATCCAACTTTGTTACATTTTAACAGATTTCTTGCACAGATATGGTTATTGTAAAATTATGATAACAGATAATTATTATATATAAACACCTAGTGTTTAAAATGGGTACTGCAGTCCAGATTCTAAACATCATAGAGAGCTGTCCCCCCCCCCTCACTCAGGTCACCATGTGGTGGACTCTGAAGCTTCAGTGTTTATCCAGCTCTGCATGGGTCTGTAAACCTTTCTGTGTTCTAACCTCTCTCCATTTTTCAAAAGCATCTCCAATATTGATCCTAGTTTGAGCACGTTTCTGCTCATGGAGCTTATTAGAAACATGCAGAGGCTTTTTAGGTCGGGTACAATCACTTCTATCTGAACCACTTCTCTTGACCGCTTCCATCGCTGCAACACCTGTTGACCTGATAACTGCTCTCATATCTGGCAAACAGAGGGGTGTCCAAAACGGCCGTGTGGGGGGGTGTCTTAAAAGCGCCTACCTTCTCTGGTCCAAACAAATCCAGAGCATTCAGGACCAGAATCTAAACTTGTTTTTGCTCCCTGTAGACCTGGACGAGTGCAGCTTCTCTGAATTTCTGTGTCAGCACAGATGTGTGAACACTCCCGGCTCGTTCTCCTGTGTCTGTCCGCCCGGTTATTATGTTTACGAGGACGGCAGGAGCTGTGAAGGTGAAGTTCAAGATCAGATTTAAGTATTTACAGCAACCATTCTGTTTGCATGTATATTTGAAATGTCTCTTTAACTGCAGTTTAGACTCAAATAATAATGAACATTAATCACTGTGTTCAGTATTTTATGTTGCTCTCTAAGTATGTTGATGATGCTTTAAAATGTTGTATCTCTGACGATGATGATGATGATGATAATGATGATGATTTAACTGACTCTGATTGTTGTGTGTTTGATTCTTAAAGACTTCAATGAATGTGACACTGGTAACAACACCTGTACAACAGCACAAGTATGTTTCAATTTCCAGGGAGGCTTCACCTGCCTGAACCCTTTACAGTGTCACTCTCCGTACATCGAAGTCAGTGACAAGTGAGTACTCCACCTTCCCACGCTGTCTTTCTACCTTTGAATGCATCGTCACATGTGCTCTTAGAGACTTTATTTTACACCGAACAAAGTTACATCTATGGTTAGTGTTCACTGGTTACAGTCAGACATGTTTATTCTGTTAGCTCTTCCTGTGGTCCACAAACCACCAGGTCAAACAAACGCCCTCACATCCCTCCCAAACTGAAATCTGTGCACTCGCTTCCCTTGGTTTAAAGGATTGAGTTTTTCTCCCTCACTTCGCAACAGTGGCGTTAAAGGGAGCACTGCGCCCTCTTGTGATTAAAATTTCTATTAAAGCAACAATCAGTATAATAACACCAGTCTGAACATTTTTCTTCAAACTGTTTTCAGAAATTAAAACAAAAAGCACTAATTCTATTTTTTAATGAGGATGAAAAGAATTGTTTAATTATCTAGGCTGCTTCACAGATTTGAAAAAAGTAAAAACTTTGAAGAAACGATCCATGCAAAAAAAAACATGTTTGACCTGTTCTTGATTCATAAACACGGGAGAGGAAACACTTTGCAGAACTGATGACCAGATTATCTCTCACCTTTCTTACTTCATTGTTCTGTTTGACATTTTGCGCCTTTCTGTTCAAACCTTACATCATGTTTCCACAAACAAAACATTTATTGTACTCATTTTTGATATGCATATCGTTGGGGCACTGCTGCACATGTTGTTTCCCGTTTTTAATGATAAATATTGTTAACTGATATGCACCAAAATCAAAAAGAAAAATTTGTTGAGTTCATCTGATTCTCCCTAACGTCTCCTCTCCTCTCCCTCTCCTCTGCTCTCCTCTCCTCCCCTCTCCTCTCCTCTCCTCTCCTCTCCTCTCCTCTCCTCTCCTCTCCTCTCCACTCCTCTCTCTCCTCTCCTCTCCTCTCCTCTCCTCTCCTCTCCTCTCCTCTCCACTCCTCTCCCTCTCCTCTCCTCTCCTCTGCTCTCCTCTCCTCTCCTCTCCTCTGCTCTCCTCTCCTCTCCTCTCCTCTCCTCTGCTCTCCTCTCCTCTCCTCTGCTCTCCTCTCCTCTCCTCTCCTCTCCTCTCCTCTGCTCTCCTCTCCCTCCCCCCCCTCTCTCCCCGTGCAGTCAGTGCATGTGCTCAGCTGAGAACCCTGCCTGCAGGGACCAACCCTTCACTATTCTGTACCGACACATGGACCTGTCGTCGGGGCGCAGTGTGCCTGCAGACATCTTCCAGATGCAGGCCACCACTCGCTACCCCGGCGCCTTCTACATCTTCCAGATAAAGTCGGGAAACGACGGGCGAGAGTTTTACATGAGAGTGAGTACTGCAGAGATAACAGACACACTCCACTAAACTGAAGGTGTAAAGATGAAGGAACATGATGCAGGAAGGAAACTGTAAATGTAACATCCACTGTCGGAGCAGAGAGAGGGAGAACATGATGGCTGGGGGTGCAATTCATTCTTGGTGAATCAGACGCTGTGTGCCTGATTTTATACCTGAAGATATTAAGATATTTGCATTTAACTTTACAGTAATCATGCATTTACCTGCACAACTCCTCTGTTGGAAATAATCCTGCTTTTAATTTTGATAATAATAAAATGATTGATGTCTAAATAACTTTTTGAGACCCATTTGTCTTCATTTGTTTTCTCTGAACTGTAACCAGTCAGAATGTTTCTGTTAAAAAGCCTTTTCTTCCAAGTTCACACATAGACCTGTATGTCTGTAAGGAAGGTACAAGGAAGGAAGGTGGAGGATTTTTGACTTGACCCTGTGGTGTGCTCTGCAGCCAGTAGATGGCGTACTCAGACTGAGTGATGTTTTTGCAGCTCAAACAAGTTTACAACACATCAGGAGAAACTGCCTGGAATGATTTCAATGTGCAGATTCTCTTTGATTAGATTACATTTTTATTTTTCACCTTCTGACTGAGGCAGCTTCTGTTAATCAGCGTTGGAACAATCCCTCCATATCTGACATCCCTCGCCTCATTAAACATGAACGTTCCTTGGCTCTGCGCTTGTGTTTCCTGCTTGTTATGAAGGAAATGACAAAGCTCTGACTCTTGGATTTCCTCCAGCTGCTGCCAGATTCAAACATTTCCTGTTCTTCGTTCCTCTCATTCCTCTCTCTCTCTGTTTTTCTTCTTTCTCTCTCTGCAGCAAACCAGCAACGTGAGTGCCACCCTCGTCTTGTCTCGGCCCATCAAGGGACCGAAGGAGGTGGTGCTGGACCTGGAGATGGTCACGGTCAACAACGTCATCAACTTCAGAGGCAGCTCCATCATCCGGCTCACCATATTCGTGTCGGAGCATCCGTTCTGATGAACTCCATCAGGCTGCAGCTGTCCTGACGGTCGGTGTGAGACAGCTCGTCACCTTTTCTTTTTGTGTTTGTTTCTAAATCGTTGTGTCATCCTCATAAAGACTCAGCAAAGATCAGCTGATGGGAAATCATCCCCGCCCTGGTTTAATGGACTCTGAGCTTTTATGGCTGCGATCTGGACACACGTGGATATTTATGGTGTACAATTTCTGACATCCTGTTTCTGTTTAGAAAAGACCTGAACGTGATGGAATTTACCGTCTTTGTGTACCTGAATATACACAACACATGTTTTTAAGGAGTCCCCCCCCCCATGTGTCTGTGAATTTGAACCCCCTCAGATAAGCTGTGAACTTTTTATACGTCATCAGATCATCGTGGTGTGTATTTGTGTTTGGAGCGGGGACGGTTATCTGAGCAGAAGTGTAATTGTGTATTTGCAGTGGCAATATTTGAGATGATGTAATTAAGCCAGTCATTAACTGAATTATTGATCACACTTTCTTTTGGACCAATAAATGTCTTCACCACACAGCTGTCCCTCCCTGACATGAGCATGCTATCCAACCTGCACATCTTTAACGAGGGTAAAAACTTCATTTAAAGTGATTTTAGACCAAACTTTTTTTCTGTCTGCTTCTGAATCGCCATGGTGACGGCTGATATGAACCATAAAGCTGGCCGACATTTGTCTTTTTTTGGAGTCTTGTTTCAGTGTCTTCATTTTCTCACGGCGCTGCTTCGCTGCGTTGTGGATACCCAATGCAGCTCTATCGCATAAACACTCAGTAATGCCTGGACTTCCTTATCGGTCCATTTGTCCGTGTTTTTCTTTTCCATTTTTGACGATTTTTAGAGCTGTTACAGACTGTTGCTAACGTTTACAGTAGGATTTAAAAATGGCGGTTGGTGATACTTGATCGGCTCCTGCGTTCAACCAATCACAGTGCACTAACATCACTCAAAGTCCTTCTTGTGCTGGGAGAGTACCTACTCTCAAGCAGGAGCTAAAAAGGTTCCTCTAGGAACTAAAATAGTTCTGCGGTGCAGAATCAATTAAACAGAGTTCCAACAGTTCCTATCTATGAAAAGGTTCCTGCAGTCTGAAAATGCCAAATGTGATTTTTAATTAGAAAATGTAAATAAAAATTGCAGCAGCGCCAAGATTGGAAACTGGCATGCCGCTGAAACTTGTGCACCAGCATGCCGATGTTGTTTGTGGCATGTTGGTTTTCGAGGGATGTGAGCTGTCTCTGCCGTCAAAACCATCGATCTACCAGAAGGTCCTTACTTTATTTCAAAATAAAATCAAGGTTGAATTCAAACAGCATGTAAAGCACTCTCAGGTTAAGATTTCTTATTTTTAAATGAAAAATGATGGATAATAGCTCATTTTAGAGTTCCATAACTTCTATGACCATGAATACAACTTTGGGTGTTCCAAAAGCAGGATAGCGCTCATAAAGACCAAAACTGTCTTCACTTGAGATTGTGAAGCTGTCAGTGAGCATGCTCAGTAAACAGAGACGTACAGGATCTGTGTGTTGGCTCAGTGTGTTCAAAGATAAAGAGGCACAGACGGTGTGTAGACAAAAATTGAGAGGGGGGAAATAAAATGATCAAAGTGATAAGTGGGGTGAACGAGGCAAATCAAAAGAGAAAGTGGTGCTCTCAGCGCTGTTCAGGGAAGGAAGCTGAGACACCGTCAGTCCGGGAATCACAGAGGGAGGGTAGAGAGAGAGAGAGAGAGAGAGAGAGCGAGAGAGAGACAGAGAGAGAGAGAGAGCGAGAGAGAGAGAGAGAGAGAGAGAGGGGAGAGAGAGAGAGGGGAGAGAGAGAGAGCGAGAGAGAGAGTTAGAGGGGAGAGAGAGAGAGAGAGAGGGGGGGAGAGAGACAGAGAGAGAGAGAGGAGAGAGAGAGAGAGAGAGAGACAGAGAGAGACAGAGAGAGAGAGAGAGAGAGAGAGAGAGAGAGAGAGAGAGGGAGAGAGAGAGAGGGGGAGAGAGAGAGAGAGAGAGCGAGAGAGAGAGTTAGAGGGGGAGAGAGAGAGAGAGAGAGAGAGGGAGAGAGAGACAGAGAGAGGGAGAGAGAGAGAGAGAGAGAGAGAGAGACAGAGAGAGAGAGAGGGAGAGACCAACCAACCTGGAGCACTCCAGAAACCTGAGCTTCATTTTCTCTCCACTCGCCCATGAGAAGGAGCTGCACTGCTGAAAGTTTCTCCTCATTCAGTGGAAACATCAGAGAGGTAAGTCTCTACTTCTGATGGTTTTAATATCATGACTGTTTTATATATTTATCAACATAACAACAACTTCAACTCTTCATGCAGCACAGAGCAGAACGCATGTTTTAAAGTTTTGTGTCTCTTGACCTCAGGTTGTTTTTGAGGTGATGAATAAATGAAGCTGTTTTCTACTTTTTGCAGCAGAGTGTTGTGCAGAGAGTCACCACCAGGGGGGTCTGGCTGTTCTAAAGTAATCCAGCAGGATTAAAGCTATCAGACAGGATTCAATGTTGACATCGGGTTGTTCAAAAAGCAAAGAAAGGATTATGTAATCAGATAAAGTCAAGTAATCCAATCCTTGTTTGTAACTGGATTTAACCTCCACTTTGTGTCGCTTAAACTTTGATCAAAAGAATCCGGATTGTTCCGATCGCAGCAGAGAAAAAAACGATGCAAGAAACATTTAAATCTGTCAAACAAGGAAACATTTCTAAAGAGGATTTTAAAATGTATTTTGCACTAGTGAGGTTTTGCTTTAATGACATACAGAGGCGGCGCTTGTCAACAGGCAGGGCAGGCAACTGCTTTGGGGCCCCAGACCAGAAGGGAGACCCAAAGCAGCGGCCTAAAATGTGCAAATTTTGCAATGACGGTAGGATACCTCCCTAAAGGGGCCCCATCTGACAGCACTCATTCTGGAGGGCCCCCCAATGGATTTTTTCCTAGGGTCCCAACAGGCGCTAGAATCGCCACTGGTGAGTTGGGAAATCAAAAGATAAATAATTAGGAGGCGCAGTGGTTAGTGTGGTGAACCATGTACGGAGGCTGTGGTCCTCCAAGCAGGTGACCCAGGTTCAAATCCAGCCTGTGGCTCCTTTCCCACAGGTCATTCCCCTCACTCTCTCTCTCTACCTGATTTCTGACTCTATCCACTGTCCTATCTCTCCATTAAAGGCACAAAAAGCCCAAAATAAATTTTAAAAAACAAAACTTAAATAATTCAACAAATATTTTTCATAGAATTTCACAGATGTGTGCGTGCGACATCATTTCTGTGTTTTTGGCGTCATTAACCCTCGATTTGGTCACACTGACAGGTTTAGTCCGGCCCTGGTTGTGTCACTGTTTGCTGTGTAAACTTTAACTTCCACTCACTCTTTCAGCGAGGACATATTTGCGGCTGTAACCATGGACTGCCTCAAAGACTGCTGCAAGACCTTCACCAAGCAGAGCGAGCTGGAGACCCAAGGTGACCCCGACATCCTGCGCTTTGTTTCAGACATGTTGTTTTTCCACTGACGGTGTGATCTCTTGTGTCCTCTAGTCATCACACTGAGGATTCCTCCTAACAAAGACGCAGCGTCAGGCTGGGAGCCGGATGGAGGGAGGATGGGGGTCACTGAAGATTACCTCCTGTCCAAGCTGCCCCCCGATGGCAAAGAGGTGCCGTTCGTCCTGCCGACCTTTAAGGCCTCGTACGTCCAACCTCAAGGCGCCCGCTTCCCCAACCTTCAGTCAGGACCGCAGAGTACGTAACGTACTGCAATACATATCATCAGCTGACTGTTGACCCGTTGTTTCTGTTAGGGAAGTGATTGTCAGCTAGGACAACAACTCCTTCAGAAGAAATCTCTAATTTCTGATATTTTCCAAACAGTCAGATATATTTAAATCTCTTTAAGGCCCCCCTCCCCACATGCCCACTTTCTACTGTCCTTTGGAACGTCTGTGATCAGGATTAAGGGGGTGAGAGGGGTCTGGATTTTTCTGTGTACCCTGATTAAAAGTCGTTGCATTTCTTTTTGATCTTTAGGGATTCAAACGATCATGACCCCCACCCCCCCACCCCCATCAGAGCGCGGTGAGCAGCATTGTTCAAACCCGTCTTAGATGTCTGTGTTGATTTAAAGGCTGGGTTGGTAAATAACGCCGGGCCTCTTCATCATCTCAACACACAACTCATTATTTCATTTCCCTAAATCATATTTGACTTTTGGCTCATTAGATGTTTCATACTCGACATTTTGGCTCCACAGCCGGCTGGACTCTGAGGGTCTCAGGTTTGTTTCTGGGTCTTTATTTGAGAGACAGCAGATAGACACTAGACTCCCAAAGGAAGTGCAGTTTGTGTGTGCTCTGAGTTTAAAGTCTTTATATGTGATGTTTTGATCCAGCAGATGTCGCCCTTGAGCTCCAGCATGAAACCAAAACAACTCACGCTGCATTGTTGTGTTAGCATGCTAATGCTAGCGATCTTTATTCTGCTGGTATCTTCACACTGCATGTAAATTTACCTGAAATGAGCGTGATCTAGAAACACAGTTAAGCAGTGAGTACAGTATGTTATTCTTCTTTTCTCTAGTCCCTCAATTAAACAACTTTTATACACGAGGGGAGGAGTCAGCCGGCTGTCCTGGCGATGTAAACAAAGTGAAGATAGGATTCTGAAAACTCTGAAAACGTCACAGACAGTGGGACTCGGGTGTTACACCCATTGTAGACAGTCATGACTCACAGAGTTATTTTCAGAGGAGATACTTGATTTATATTTAAGTGTGAAAAATCACATATTCAGCCTGTAAGCCCTGAAGGTTACCTGTTGACGGCGCCCGTTCAATTAAACCCAGCTCAGAAGTCACTGAGGTGTGAATCCAGCTTTGATCACTAAGAAAAAGAGAACCAGGATGTCCTGCTCCTGAACAGCTTGTGGTCGTGGTTACTCACTGAGGAGATCAACCCCTCGCTGACTTTGTGCCCTGCTCTCTGTCTGCAGGCTCAGCACGCTGCACGTACGCAGAGAGGAAGGCCGAGCTGCTGGGCTCCAGTGTCTTCAACTACAGCCCAGAGTCCAGCTTCCACCGGGGTCAGATGGTCGAGTACATGTCCCCCGGCTCGAGCCGCAGAGACACGCTGAAAAACAGAATCTACAGTCCTCAAAGTCCAGGTAGCAAAACACAGCAGAACCAACTCCCCTGAAAATGAAAATCGAACTAATAAAGAACTCAAAAAGGAGCGCTTCTGGATTCAGATAAATTTAGGTTAGAGGAATGAGTACACAGTCGTCAGAATACAAAGACAAACTTCACATCACTTACTTTTTTTTTTTGTCATCAACTTTTTATTGAAATTTTACATAAGATGCTTAAACACATGAACCCAAGACAGCATCATCAAACATACAAACTATTTACAGATCGCCGTTGCCTTGATGAGGAAAAATATACATAAAATTTGAACACATATATACACACATATGCACACAACATAAAACCTATAGACACAGTTAAACAAGTATAAACAAATACAACTAAAACAAATAAACAGATAAAAAATCAAATAAAAATAATTCAAGTAAACAATTTCACAAAAAGTGTAAGTTTACGTTTTGCAATGCTGTGAAAATAAAAACATTTTTTTTGTTTAAAGTCAGAGTGCCTTTGCGCTTTTTTAAAATCACTTTCCATGTCTGCACCTCAAAGTACTCAAGAAACCTGCAAGTCTCAGCTAAGATGAAATCAGTGCACACTGTTTATAATTTAAAATCCATACCCACAGATTATAATCAGAGGTCCTTTGTCCCATCAGCAGGTGGGTTTCTAAAGAAGCTGTAGGCACACTTATCCTACAGACTGATGGTCTTTGAGTCTCTTCACTCCACTGTTTTAAACACGTGTTTCTGTCTCTGTCTGTGAAATGACCCCTTAGGGGCAATAAAGATGATCCAATCAGATCAATCAAAACCATCCACTAAGATTTACAAACCATGCACACAGATTTGTAAACTGTGCTCACAGATTGCAAAAATCACAAACCCCCTTTTTAATGTAAAACTTGTTTTCCTCCCAGGTTGGAATCTGAGGCCGAGCGGTGACCAGCGTCTGAGCAGCTCCATGCTCGACCTCTCAAGCTCTCAGACTCACATGCAGGTGAGACGGCTCTTTATCTTATCTGCGTTCACACAACATGTTCTCAGCCGGGGTCAACTCAGACTAAATATAATCTGTCAGTTTCCACCGAGGGGGACTCTGCAGACGAGCTTCACAGAGTCGTGTTTAGTTGAAAGAGGGAAAGTAAAAGAGGAACAGCATGAGGATGTAGATGTGCGGCCCGAGCTGATCCACAACGACACCTTTCACATGAACTCTGTTATAAAGATCAAAAAAAGCTCCTCACCTTTAATTTATCCCAAAAAATATCAAGGCATTTGTGCAAGTTTGTATAAAACAGCATGTGAGAAATACAGTTTATGTTAATAAAGTTAATACTCTAGACCAGTAGCCCCCCCCATCTCGCCCCTGCCTTCTTCCCTCCTCTTTCCCTTCTCTCTTTGCTCTTTCTTCTTTATATTGCAGGACTCAATTTGTCTCTACTTATGCATTCTGCTGCATGCAGAGTTATCCCATATACTAAGTGTGTGGGATAAGTATACCACTGCAACATATGCACAACATTTGTGTATGTATTTCTCTCTTCTGCTGTTCTTCCTCTTTTTTTTCCTCTTCTCTTTCTTTTTTTCGTGTGTGACTGTGAGTATTTCTGTGTGCTATTGCTGAAAACTCAATAAAAATATTCTTAAAAAAAAAGAAATACAGTTTATGGAGGCGCAAAGGCGACAAAATGCAGAGACAGGGAGAATCACAAACGCTGCACTGGGGGAAAAATGAAATACAGACATGATGACTTGATGAGTTTGGCAGCAGGAGAACTGCGTATGACTTTTAGCTACTAGCCTGTTAGCTCATCTCTGTCCTGCTTGAAACAACGACTGAGGGTACGAGGAAGAGGACTCTGAAGGATTTTTTATTGATTTATTTTATTTAACCAGGAAAGAAACTCACTTTTCAAGAGTGTCCTGGCCAAGACAGGTAGAAAAACATTAACAGAGTTTCACACGACAACAAGCAGCCAATCTTTCAAATACAAAATACACAAGACATTAAAAGACACAAATAACCAATCCGAACAGCAAAATGTTTGTCAAAAATCATCCACAAATACATCAGGAAGATAAGAGTCACTGTCTCATGTTTAGCAGCTTTACCGGCTGCAGAAAGTCGTCTAACCCGAGTTACGTGTGCTTACAGCCGTCTGTACGGCGGGCTGTTTGTGCTGGTCGTCATGTTTCTGAAAATCCAGTAAAAAAACTGAACCATGTCAGTAGACGTGTTGCTTGTCAACAAATGCACGCTGTCTGTGAGGGGGAGCCATGACAGCAGTGTTTTATGACAGTGTAATTGCACTCAGAGGCCTTTAGTGGGCACCAAAGTGCACCCAGTCGAATCCCTACATATTGTCACTTTAAATTAAGAAATGTAAAAAATCAAAATGTCTGATTTTCTCAACAAACAGTGATCGTTTTCTTGTCACTTTTTTCTTCAGTTAACGTTTTAAATATCCAGAACAACACGCAGTCAGAATAAAGTTTAATAAGTTAAATGTTTGTCTTACCAACGCCATGAGCAAACAGTCGACGGTAATTATTCCATGAAAGGCGCCTTGGCAGCAGATCTGACAGTAAACACAATTAGCATGACAGTGGAGACGAGACGTGTTCAAAGATTTAAGGACACAACTTTTATCCGACACAGCTCGGGGATATCGTGCTACGGCATCTCGATCAGACATTTATCGTCCTCAGAGGGAAAACCCTAAAATAATAAAATAGTGAATATTTCCTGCTGTCTTTGTAATATAACAATAAGTAAGCTTGATTTTTGTAAAGTGTCTCCAGATAACACTTGCTATGAGTTGACGCTATACAAATAAAAATGTATTGATTTCTTGCTGTTCTGATTCTGACGTTACTTTTTGTCTGTTATCTTCAGCTGCAGCACTGTGACTCGCTCTCCAGCGTCCTCAGCAGCACGTCCTCCCCACGGTTCGGCTCCATCGAGAGCAGCTTAGGTAAATGAACATCCAAATCTCTCTGTTTCAGTGACCCACTGTAACATCTGTCTGCATCGTGCACAATCCTTCATCACATAAATAACATCCAGATGTTTTCTCTACACTCCTCCTCTTGAGGGTTTAAATCTTCCTGAATAATCATCGTGTTATCCAGAGAAGCAGTTTTGTCCTTTTTCTTTTCTAACGGCAGCAATGAGTCTCAGACTTTCATCACATCCTGCACTGCCATCAACAGAGTCCCTTTTTTTAAATTCACTTTTATTCTGACTTTTCCTCTCCTATATAAATCACAAAAGAAGGTGTTTTTGGATCAAACAGTTCTGGGGACTTTTTGAAGAGAAACTATCCACCAGGGAGTTCCCAGAGATCTACACACCATGTGGACTTTTCTCTGTTTGCATTCAACTCAATTCAATTCAATTCAATTCAATTCAATTCAATTCAATTCAATTTATTTTGTATAGCGTCAACTCATAACAAGTGTTATCTCAAGACACTTTACAAAAAGCAGGTAAAAGACCTTACTCATTGTTATGATACATAAAGCAGGTAAAAGACCTTACTCATTGTTATGTTACATAAAGCAGGTAAAAGACCTTACTCATTGTTATGTTACAAAGATCCGGCCTATCCATCATGAGCACTTTAGCAAAGCAGCAAAAGTTACAGTGGTAAGAAAAAACTGCCTTATTAAATGGGATAAGATGCAGGAAGAGGGATAGGGAGCAAGGGGGTGGGGGTGGGGGGACGGGGGGGGTTGTTCTGGGGTTGTTCAGGCTGCAGGGAGAGAGCCTCCTGTATGCTGAAGCAGGAAATAAAATCAATCAATCATTTATTTGTAAAGCGCCAATTCATAACAAGTGTTACCTCGAGACGCTTTACAAAAGAACATATGGGATAATATGCAGGAAGGATTTCTCCTCTGCTTTCCTGGCGTTCCTGATGTCCACACTTCTTGTCCACGGAAGTGGAGGTCAGAGCAGGCTGTGCAGGAACAAGGACGGCGATGGTTGAGGGGGCGACTCAGTCCGATGGTCTGAATAAAAAGAGTGCAAACACAAAAATAATATTTCATTAAAACTGATTCATAACTACCTGTAACTACAGTATAAGATCATATCTACATCCAGACATTACAATGTGATGACTTCTTCCTGTTGTGTCCTCCTGCTCATTCGTCACAGACTCCATCCCCCTGTCGTGGGACGAGCGTGAGCTGGGGAAGGTGTGCATCCAGCTGAGCTACCAGGAGACTCTGGAGCAGGTGTGGATCACTCTGGTCCAGGTAAGGTTACACGCTGAGAGGAGAAACACAGAGAGCTCCATTGTGCTCCCCTGCAGCGTTCCTCAAAGGACCCTCTGTTGGAGATTCTGAGAGCTCTGCAGGTAAAGGTTGTTGTTGTTTCTGAGGAACAGAAGCGTCTTTATGTTTCATCGTTCAAAGAGAAACAGCGACCGCGCCTTTACTGAACATTCAACTATTGTTCTTGATGCCGGTGCCTTCCACACTCTGACTGTATGGACTCAGAAATTATTGTAATGCATTGTCTCTTTTTTCAAGACTACAAATAGAGTCCTGTTTAGAATATTTCCCAGCATGCACCCTGTGGAAATGAAGAAAAAGGAAAGCAAGGGAGCAGAAACACAGATGGGTGACGTCACTCAGGCTTCATCCAGTAAAACTGACAGTCAGTTGAAGTGATGAACATTTTGACAACCTGCACACACGATCGATACAGAGAGGGTTTTGGACTCTTGGATTTTGTTATGATTTCCTTTTCTTTCATAAGCAGTTTATTCAACACCTTGTTTCCTTTCAAGAAATGATAAAACGTTTTGCTTGGCCTCATCACACACTTTCTTTTCAATTTTCATTTTGGTTTGTCTTCAGTGTTCAGAGCTCAACCTTCCTCCTGACGGAGCAGAACAACAGAAGATTGGATTCAAAGGGATCATCACTGTCCCCAAACCCATTCAGTTCAAGAGCTCCGTCAAGGACTACAGTCAGGTAACACCGAGTATACATATCACATCCGACAAAAACACCCCAAAGATCCACAATTCACCCTGAGAGTCAGATACAGTTTAAAGGTCGACTTTGAAAAAGCGAACAGATGAAGGTTGTTTTTCATTTTCCTTCCTCTCTTTCATCCTTCCTCCCTGATTCTCCCTCCTCCCTCTACCTGCTGCACACCTGAGAACAGTTTGCTCTCAGGAAGGAGAGAGAGCTCTCTGGCACACACACTCTGGGCAGCCATGAAGTGAAGTACTTTTCCCCCAATTTAAGGTTTCTGTTGTCCCACGCTCAGAACAGGCTGTTTCTGTGTCTGCACCTTTAAATATGTAAATGAGCTGTGTCTGACCACGCCCCCTCGCTGGAAGGGCTTGGGTGTACTCAGTCTTTCTCGCTCCATGTCCTATTGTTTACGGTGAGAAGGCAGACTCAGAGGGCAGAACAAACACCTAGCTGTGGGAGTGTCACCCACCTGGGGAGGGGCTACTGTCCTTTGTGATGTCATGAAGGGAAGATCTCCAAACGGCCTGTTTGAGCACACATTTTCTGAAAAGTGGAGCAGGCAGAAGACGGAGAGGATGGACTTTTCTCATCATTGGGGGTTTGTAGACGGACTAGAGACACATGTTAGAGTTAGAGGAACATGGAGAATATGGGACCTTTAAATTTATGTTCTAGGTCATATGAGCGTTCAAAAAAGCTCCATCGCTTGTGTCAGATGTTTTTTTAATTTTTATTCATGAATGTTAACACCTTCTCCTTCTGCTCTGTAGGACGTGTCCTTCATGGAGACCTTCGTGTTTGCGTTGCGTCTCCAGCAGTTGCGTTGCAGCGCTCTGGTTCTGCGGCTGCAGACGCACAGCAACAAGAAGCGTACGGTGGCCGAGTGCGTCTTCTCTCTGCGACAGCTCGGCGCTCAGGAGACCGAGCACTGGCTCGACCTCAGCCCTCGCTCCAAATCCTCTGTGAGTGCTCAGATGTCATCCTTCATGCTCTAAACCTTAAAACACAATCAGACGGCTTTAACAAGTTCAGATTTAAAGAACGAACCAGAACAGAAGCTTTGACGAGTCTTTTAGTCCAACCTCAAAAGGAGGAAACTATCTCAGACGTCTTCCTCTGTTTCCTCTGTTTGCTGCCGTCTTTTATCACCATCTCATATGTGCACAGTAAATAAGAACACAGCACTGTGTGTACCTCATAAAACTGCCTCTGTGATGAATTATAGCACACAGGCAATAACAGAACTCTTGGGCCCTCACGGGACGATATTCTACATTTCACTTATCAGACGCTTTTCTCCAAAGCGACGTACATCAGAGAGTAAGAACAACACAAGCAAGGATCTAGAAAAAAGGGAACAATGTGAGTAAGAGCAAACGATCAGCTTTGAGTCTGATTGGACACACAGGTGCTGACAGGAAGTGACCAGAGGCAAAGCACAACATTGAGGGCAGTTCTTGAGAGCTCTAATCAGTATAGAAACCATCTTATAAGTCGTCGTTATCAAACAAAAACCATCGTCATTACCATCATCATCATCAATAATATGGAGACCATCATCATTAAGTTAGTAGGTATTCATGAAAGAGCTGGGTCTTTAGCTTTTTCTTAAAGGTGCAGAGGGACACAGAGGCAGGGTGAACACTGTTACATGATCAGAGTGAAAAGAGAGCGAGGATTCATCATAGAGGGAAGTTATGAAGCAGGCTTTTTATTGGAGACGTGGAACCAGAGCGCTGATTCTCATCCTGGAAATGGAAAGACGAGGAAAGTAGGTCGACCCATTTCAAACAGCGGAGCGCCGACTGGATGATAATAGATGGATGTCTGGCCACAGAAAGTAAAAAGTGTTCTTCATCACAGCGAGTTATTGTTATGATCTCTGAGGGACGACTTCAGTTAGCGAGAGGTCTTTTAACCATCTGGTGGTAAAACGCCACAAATTGTCCAAATCAGCGTTGCTCTGCAAAGACTCTTAAGACCACCACTGATCGGCTTTGTTCCCACGTCATCACTGTGATTAGAAGGAAAACTCCTCTTTCTAAAGATAAAGATAAACTTTATTGATTCCCTATGGGGGAAAATTTTGCATTACAGCAACTCAAGAAAACAGGAAAAAGGAATAAAATTATTAAAAATAAAAATAAAAATCAAACATACGTACATCAGTTAAATGATCTCAGTCTAAAAGAAGAAATTACTTAAATTCATTTGTAATTTGATTTTTATCCGCCGGTTACGACCTCAACCTTCCCGCTGTTACGGTCTAAGTGAGGAGACGCCCCCCGTTTTATTTGGAAACCAGATTGTTTGTGATCCACAATGTCCTATAAAAAGAGAAACAAATCCACCGTTCTCTTTCAGGTGTGCCACGCTGAGCTCAATCTCACCACCTGCTTCCAGCCGGTAAACGGGCGGATCCAGCTCCAAGTCCTCGCCGCTCAAAACCTCCCAGCATCCTCCACTCCGCTCACACAAGGTACAGTACATACCTCTGCAAATAGAACTTTGGTGTAAACCGTGTATAGATGAGTAACCATAGTAACTGTGACTCCTCCCCCCTCTGAAGCGTTTTTTGTCAAAGCGGAGATGCACCAGCTCGGGCGGGTGGTGATGAAGAAGAAGACTCGAGTGATCAAGGCCTCAAAGGGTCAGTGTCGGTGGGCGGAGACTTTCCACTTCCTCCTCGCTGCCGTCGACCACGACTACTCGCTGTCAGTCAAACTCTACAGCCGCAGCTCGGTCAGGAGAAGCAGTGCCTTGGACAGGTGAGTTTTTACAACACCGGGGTTTGGAAGGAGTTTAAGTATCTTGGGTCCTGGTTCATGAGGGAGGGTAAAATGGACCGTGAGATCAACAGGCGGATTGGTTCAGTGTCTGCAGTGATGTGGACGTTGAACCGACCTGTTGAGGTGAAGAGGAAGCTAAAAGCTTCAGATTTACTGCTCGATCATCGTCCCTACCCTCACCTGTGGTCATGACCTTTGACCTTTGTTAAAGTCTTTATATGTGATTACTCACACTTAAATGTAGAAATCAAGTCTCTCCTCTGAAAATAACTCTGTGAGTCATGACTGTCTACAATGGGTGTAACACCCGAGTCCCACTGTCTGTGATGTTTTCAGAGTTTTCAGAGTCCTATCTTCACTTTGTTTACATCGCCGGGACGGCCGCTGACTCCTCCCCTCGTGTATAAAAGTTGTTTAATTGAGGGACTAGAGAAAAAGAAGAATAACATACTGTACTCACTGCTTAACTGTGTTTCTAGATCACGCTCATTTCAGGTAAATTTACATGCAGTGTGAAGATACCAGCATAATAAAGATCGCTAGCATTAGCATGCTAACACAACAATGCAGCGTGAGTTGTTTTGGTTTCATGCTGGTGCTCAAGGGCGACATCTGCTGGATCAAAAAAATCACATACAAAGACTTTAAGTATATAAGTAATTATTGCCCTCTCAATGTTTGTGTCAGATCCAGCTGGGATTGGACAGCCTGGTCCCTGAAGCAGTGGAGCAGTGGAAGGACATGATCGCTCACCCGGAGAAAGTCGTGTCTGCGTGGCACGGGATGAGCGCCGCCTGAACCTCCGCTACCACCACCTCCACCACCTCCACCACCTCCACCTCCGCCACCACCACCTCCACCACCACCACCTCCGCTACCACCACCTCCACCACCTCCACCACCTCCACTACCACCACCTCCACCACCACCACCTCCACCACCTCCACCTCCGCCACCACCACCTCCACCACCACCACCTCCGCCACCACCACCTCCACCACCTCCACCACCTCCGCCACCACCACCTCCACCACCACCACCTCCGCCACCACCACCTCCACCACCTCCACCACCTCCGCCACCACCACTCCACCACCTCCACCTCCGCTACCACCACCTCCACCTCCACCACCTCCACCACCTCCGCTACCACCACCTCCACCACCTCCACCACCTCCACCACCTCCACCTCCGCTACCACCACCTCCACCACCTCCACCTCCGCTACCACCACCTCCACCACCTCCACCACCACCACCTCCACCCCCGGATGTGAAGCTCTCACACTGCAGGTCCAGCTGGGCCTCATTGCTTTACCACTCGGGAGGAATCTGGACTACTAAACTACTGAACGACCTCTGAACGCTGACCAGATTCCCACAGAGTGTTCAGGTGTGCGGGTGTAAAAAGGGGTTTTGAACAAAGCGTAGGTGCTGGAGTTGTTTTGTTTTTTTGGTGGACGCTTAACGGACAGAAACTCAGCTGTAAAACCATTTAGATGTATATAAGACTTTTTTTAAACCACATGCTTTGTATATATCACCGCTTCTTGCCACTCTTGTCCAGTGGGATCAAAAGATTAGAAGTAGAAAAAGTGACCACTAGACTTCATGCTAGTTCCAACCGGACAGGTAAAGATGGCGTTATTAAACATGTTGTTGCCTCCCCTCAAAAGGTCAAAACCAACACTGCAGTAGGCTCAAAACATTCAAAAGTTTCCTTCCATGGGGGGGGGGTCAGCTCTGTTCAGCTTGAAGAGTAGCTGCAGCAGGTCTCTGGAGCAGCACCCAGTGTTTCCATAGTAACGATAAACATGTTGTTGTCATGGCGACCTTCACAGGCTGTAACAACTCTAAAATGAAGGATTTCTCTGACTTTGATAACTGTTGGAAATATTTGAGGTAGTTTAAGAAATTTAAGAAAAATTTAACATATTTTATTCCATTTTAATACATTTAGACATTTTTGTGTAAAATTCTACATATTGCACCTTTAAGCACAGAGGGACAGGTCAAGGGTTAAATAACTGCTGTGTTGGTTTTGATCTTTTTTTATGTGCTTCTACACGTTGAATATGATGGTCGCCTTTATTTATCTCTGTAGGATTTCATGTAACTGTTCAGAAAAGCTGCATCCAACCTTTGCCTGTGACCTTTTTTGATAGTGAAGCACTTTAATTTTTTTTTATGTGTTTAACGTTTTCATGTTGAAAGATTCCTGAATAAAAAGTAGGTGTCGTCTGGAAAATGTCAAGTTTTGTTTGTGTGCCTGACGGACGGGAGGGAAGAGGGAAACAAACTGAGCTCCTCTAAGGCGAAAACAGGCCGTCAGCGTTCACATCACACATGTTATACACACAGTTTGCACGGCGTGTAAAATAGGTCAACACCCATAAACGTCTGCGTCACTGAGTCACTTTTTATCGCCGAGGTCACTGATTGGGAAATCTCAAAGCAAACAGAGAGAGAAGCTGCTAACATGCTTCCTCTACTTACATCCTGTTATTTCACGTTCATCCTTTTATTAAAAAAAAGCAATTTATTGTCACTTCTGTTGTGGACGAGGCAATCTTAATCTCATCCCTTCACTCCATTTGTGGAGTGATTGGAGAAAGGGACATTTGTCGTTTCAGGACAAGTGAAAACAATTTCCTTCAAGCTGCAGCTCAACCTTTCACTATTAAAGGAAAAGTACGGAAGCCTTAAAGGCGGAGTCAGAAGAAACATCAATCACAGTTTGATAACAAAACATTCAAACATGGCCACTCCTCCTTGGCTCATCGCCCCCTGCAGGAAGTAGTGTGTACGTTTACTGCTTGTTCCTTCACTGCAAGCTAACACATGCTAGCACAAGCTAACCGCCGGTGTTTGTCACCTTCCTGTCCAACAGGAAGTAGACCAACTCCACGTCCACGGGTAAAAGACAACACAAGGTTCACCCTCGTTTTAGAACGATCTTTATCCACTTGGTGTTTCTCCTCACTCTCATTATATTTTCTCTTCTTTGCTGCTACGTCCACGTCCGTCATATTCACCGCTTTGAATCTCGTCCAATCACTGAACTGTATCCACTCCTAAACTCACCTGCTGCGCTGTCATTGGCTGGAGGAAACACACCAGCTCCGCCCACAAACGTCCCGAGTCAACCGTCACAAAGCAGAACAGTAAAATCCAGTGAGAGGACAGAGTCTCTGCAGACACAGTCACCACCACACATGTACGGAGGCCCAGAAGGGACAATGGAGCAGCTTCACTTTAGGAGAAGTCTGTTTTTTATTTTGAAGGAGAAGTCTGTATTTTATTTTGAAGGACATACACAAGTCCAGTTCATGTGAAAACAACCTAAATGTTCTCCTTATCACAAATAAAATGTAATGAAGCATGTCTGCTTTGGGCTTCCGTATGTCATCATTACCGACATACCGGTTGGTCCAAAGCTCGGACTCCCAGAATCCTTTTCTTTCTCCTAACCCTAAACACAATGAGACAGCGATGTGCGCTGTGTAACCAGCTGTGACCGTGGACACACAAACACACACACACCCTGGGAACAAAACGCCTGTGGTCAAACTAAACAGAGTCCACTGAGTGTTTGAGTTTCAGAGAGTGTGACTGAGACAACCGGGCGACTCCATGTGAGATGACATGCGTCAGTGCTCTTCACATCCTGCCGTGCCAAAACACCGTCTTATTATTTCTTTATGTGATTAATGTTTGATTTATGGTTAATGTTACACTGAGGCCATTGAGACACGCCTTGAACTGTGACTTGACTTGACACTCGGCTCAGAGGAGTGTTTGACTCCGACTCATGGAAGGTGCTTGAGTCTGTGGAGCAGGATTTAAAGATTGTTTCCTTTATGTGTTTAACAGATCATGACACTTCTTTGGCCGGTCGCCACGCTGAGTCTGCAGCACGCCGCCTCATGAAGGCATGCCTGTGTGAGAGTTTCATCACCTGGGAGACACAAAGGAGAGTTTGCAGAAGTCTTGAATCCTTCAGTGTTCCTCTCATGCTGCAGGTCTCCTTCATCACATGAAGCCCCTTCCTTTGGTTTCATCCAGAATAAAAGTTTTATATAAAATGTTAAATGTTGCCTCTGTGGACATTCATCTTTACTTTTCTTTGACTCTGTTGTTTCCTCGAGATCTCGACTTCCTCATCTGAATAAAATGTTTTTATTTAACATGTAGAAATACTTTTCATTGGCTCCACCCACTTATGGTCCAAATATGGTAATCTCCAAAGATGGTCAAGACTGACATGACAAACTTCCCAGGCTTCACATTGGTAGTGCACAAACCACAGGGTGATGTAACCATGGCAACATCTGTTGTCTGTACTGTATATGCTCATGCATGTAAGTGTAAGAAATCAGTTTGTGCTGCCCCCTTGTGGCTGAAAAACAAATTATGATGAAAACTTTATGAGAGCTTTAGTCAGGGTGTAGATTTATTTTTGGGCTCTTGTCTTGCGAGATGGAGAGAGAGGGTAATGACAGATGGGAAAGGAGACACAGGTCGGACTTGAACCCGTGCCGCCCTCTTGGAGGAGGAGCCTCTGTACTATGCAACCTATCGCGCCTATAGTCAGATTACACAGATGTTTTTTTGACTTGTGATTGGGTGAAACAGCTGATTATGAAGTCTGGTGAATTTCAGCCCGATCACATGTCAGTCGCCATGCAGCGGTCGGGGGGAACGACCGGTCGGATGAATTTCAATTCAATTCAGTTCAATTCAAAAAACTTTATTTGTCCCTGGGGGGCAATTCAAAGACACACAGAGCAGTAAATTAACAACAGTGCAAGTAAACAAAACATTTTAACCTAAATATAAAGTGTCAATTTAAATACAACTTAAAGCTTAAACTTAACTTAAAAATACAAAATATAAAAGAGTAGATATAAGTGGACAGTGATCGGACTAACAGACGTAAACAGATGTAAACAGAACTATGTGCAGTAAACAAGAAATGAATATATATATACAGAGCTATGTGCAGGTAGGCAAATACTAAATGATAAGTTATTAAGGTGCATGGTGAATAATGGAACAACAGAACTAATATATACAATATAACTGTAAGTAAAAATGAGATAAATAAAGTGACCGTAGTGCAATGATGGATAAGAAACAACAGGAATAAAGAAACCAGAACTGTCTGACTACTGGTATAAAATGGATAGAATAAAGTGATGTAGTGCATGAGACCAGATAAAGCAGAGGCAGTTCAGGTGCATGTCAATATAAAGGAAGTTCACAGCTGAGAGTCTGCATTGGGTGAGAGGTGTTGGTGTCTGTTGGGGGGGGGGGGGGGTAGGAGTTGAGGAGCTGGACGCCCTGGGAACAAAGGTTGCTCTTCTCCTCTGTGTCCTGCAGCAGGGACAGTGAAGCCGGCGTCCTGAGGGGAGCCACTCAAACGCTGGGAAGAGAGCGTGTGAGGGGTCCTGCATGATCCGACCTGCTAGCCTGATTGTCTGTTGCTCATAGATGGATGTCAAGTCCTTACAGGTAGTCCAATGATCTTAGAGCAGACTGTGACCGTGCTCTGCAGGCGCTTTCTGTTCTGGAGGGTGGTGGAGTGGAACCAGCAGGTTATAGAAAAAGTAATAATGCTCTCAATGAAGGAGTAGTAGAAGGTCAGAAGAATGTTCTTACTGACTCCAAAGGAATTGAGCTTCCTTAGGAGGTATTTCCGCTGCTGACATTTCCTGAGAATCTCCTCGGTGTTGGAGGCGGATTTCAGCAGGCTGTCGAAGATGGTACCCAGGTACTTATACTCCTCTACTAGTTCAACAGGATTCCCATGGATTGTGGTGATTGCAGCCAGTTCCCTCTGCTTGTTGGAGAAGGTCACCACCATGTCTTTGGTCTTGCTCATGTTCAGTTCGAGGCAGGAGCTGTCACACCACTCCACAAACTCCTGAAGAACTGGTCCATGGTGCTGAGAGGGGCCTGACAGCAGAGAGAACTGTGTCGTCTGCGTACTTCACCAGGTGACAGTTTGGCTGTGTGGTTCTGCAGTCATCGGTGTAGAGGATGAAGAGCAGAGGTGAGAGCACGCAGCCCTGAGGGGAGCCAGTTGAGGGTGTTGGAGGTTGGAGAAGGTGTTGTTGACCAGAACTCTCTGTGATCTGTTGGTCAGAAAGTCCAATATCCACAGGATGAGCTGGTCGTTCAGATGGAAGCAAGTTGAAAGTTTGTCAGCCAGGATGTGAGGCTGCAGGGTGTTGAATGCAGAGAAGTCTGCAAACAGGAGTCTGGCTGAGGTGTTGGGGTGCTCCAGGTGTTTGTGAACAGTGTCTATTATGAATGTTTTTGCATCATCGACACTTCTGCCTGCACGATAAGCAAATTGTAGCGGGTCCATCCATGACTCGGAGATGGTTTTAATGATCCTCTCCATGGCCTTCATCCCCAGAGACGTGAGGGCCACAGGCCTGAGGTCATTCAGTGATTTGGCGGGGCTTTTCTTGGGGATGGGGATAACTGTGGAGTGTTTCCACAGCTGGGGGACTGTGCTGCTGTCCATAGAGCTCTGGAACAGGGTCTGAAACACGCCCCCTAGCTGCTCGGCACGGTGCTTCAGGATGCAGCCACTGATGTTGTCTGGACCAGGTGAGCTGCTCTCACCACATCCTCTCTGCTGAAGGTGAGTGCAGAGTCACTGGGCTTGAGCATCGCCACTGTTCCTTCCAGCTGTGTGGTGTTGTCCTTCTTGAATCTGGTGTAGAATGAGTTGAGATCGTTGGGGAGAGAAGTAGAGCTGCTGCCTGCAACCTCGATGGTTTTGATGTTGGTAGCAGCAGTGTTCACAGCAGCCATGTTTGTGAGGCCCTGCCAAGCAGTGCGGAGGTTCCCCTGTGTGAATTTTTCCTCCACTTTGTTCTTGTACTTGAGTTTGGCAGTTTTTATGGCGTGCTTGACTTCTCTTTTCATCTCCTTTTTCTCCACTTCGGAGCCGGCGAAGAAGACCCTTTTCTTCTTGTTGAGGACCTCCTTGAGTTCTTTGGGGATCCAAGGTTTATTGTTGGGGTAGATCGTGACTGTTTTGGAGGGGATGATGTTGTCCACACAGAAGGAGATGTACGATGAAACAGTGTCCACATGCTCATTAATGTTGTTGGAGGGGGTCAAGAGGTTATCCCAGTCAGTGGATTCAAAGCATCCTTGTAGTGTAAGAATGCTTTCGTTGGTCCACTGCTTGATGTTCTTAACAACTTTCTTAACCCTCTTTATTACAGGAGTATATGCTGGAGCAAGCAGGACGACATGGTGGTCAGCAGAGCCAAGAGGGGGGAGAGCAACAGATCTGTATGTGTTAGGAACTGAACCATAGCATTTATCCAGTGTCTTCCCCAGGCGGGGCTGCATGTCATGTACTGCTGGAAGCTGGTAGTCTTTCTAACCCGATAACAGAATTATAGGTTTGTCAGTCTGACATTAAGATGTGGCCTGTAAACAGTTTGGCCCCCCCTAGTGGTAGTTTTTGGTGCATGAAGAGCATCACCTGACTTTGCCTCTCAAAAGACATAATGAAGACAGGCTGCACGGTGGAAGAAACCAACACAGTCTTTAACCACGGCATGTTGAGTTGTTTCACTCAGTTTTTTGTTTGTTAATTTGTTTACTTCACTGTTCCTGTGGCTTTTTGTGCCTTTATTGGAGAGAGAGGACAGTGAGTCAGAAACCTCCTTACACAACAGATATCAACAGAACAACAATCAGCCACACTCAAAAACCAACTCACTGAATTCAACAAAATATACTCCACAATTCTCACCACCATTTTGATGTCACAGCAGAACCAGGTCGGTAAACAAGGAGGAGAGAGGAAATCAGCACAACAATTTTAATATCATTTACAAACAGTCTGTATTTGGCAATCATCGTGTTAGCACCCATACAAAGTGAAAAACAAAACAAAAACAAACAACGACAAAACTCCTCACCATGTGTACAACCTCTCCCACCAGTTTTATTTTAATAATGTTGTTACTATACTGTCCCCATGTTTGTCTTTGTCCTGTTTGCTCATTTACTAATTTAGTCCCTCTTTCTAGTTCATTCATTTTATTTACTGACCCTTTTCCTTTTGTTTTGAATGTTTGTTTGTTTTTGTCTAAATTTGCTTGCAGGCGGGAACAGGTTGGATTTGAACCTGGGCCGCCCATTCTGAAGACTTAGGCCTTTGTACATGGGGCACGCAAGCTAACCACTAGGCCACTGATGCCCCAATTGTACACTGATGAGATGTGTTTGTAAAGGCCTAATGCTTAATCTGGAAACTGCAACAGGTTTAACAAAGCCTGAGTCCGACATTTATAAGCATTGTGCGTGACCCCACCCCCCCCCCTCACACAGCCTCTTCAGCCTCTTCAGCCTCCTGCCATCGGGGAGACGGTACCGCAGCCTGCGGGCCGGCTCCACCACACTGGGAAACAGCTTCTTCCACCAAGCTGTCAGGAAGCTTAACTCTCTCCCCTCTCTTCCTTCCCTCCCCTCTGCCCCCACAAACACTGGACGTTGAACCCCCTCCCGTTTACCACCAAGAACTCTGGACTAATAACTCTGAAGCTAACTATTCAAAAGTACACTCAGTTTACTGCACATTGCACAAGTTTACTTTTTCTGTAAATTGTATTTTATTTATTTTATTTTATTTACCATTTTGTACCTTTAGAATTTATTACTGTAAATATTATTTATCTTATTTTACCTTATTCTGGTTGTATTGCACCGCGGGACGGAGACAAACGCAATTTCGATTCCACTGTATGTCTGAAATATTTTGAAATTGACAATAAAGTTGACTTTGACTTTGACTTTGAAAAACCAGCAGACCAGAGCGGATCATCAGACGGTGAGTTAAAACTGTTTCCAGTTTTTCATCATCTCTGAAACACGCAGGAGCTCATGAATGTTTCCATCACTGCCTCATCTAACGCTGAGCGGCGCCCTCAGGTGACGCTGCACAGGAGTTACAGGATTCAAACGTCATCCCGGTGTTGAGCAAGGTGAGTGGAAGTGGGTGTGGCCAGAGTGACTCATTCATTGAGGGGAATAAACCCTCCCCCTCTCTCCTCTGTATTCATAAACCTGAGCAGGCAGGAACACGCTGAACTCTGCTGCCAACATCTCAGAATGGATTCTGAGAAGAAAACTGTGATCCTGAGAGAAGGATTCCTGGTGAAGAGGGTGAGACACAAATCCTTTCAAATATAGATTTAATTCAGTAGATGTGATCTGTAGTGAGGGAACCAGCTGCCCATGTTTCCTCTGATGTAATGGTTGAAATCCTTTGACTATAGGAGTGTTTGTTCCCCCTGAAGTTATGACATACATTGATCATTTCTTATAAATCTGATGATGTCAGGGTCATCTGGTGCACAACTGGAAGCCCCGCTGGTTCATGCTGACGCCGGACAAGCTGCTCTATTACAAATACGAAGGAGGCCGAAGAGACTCGTGTCAGCGAGGGAAGATCCTGCTGAAGGACTGCGTGATAACGAGTCCTTTTCTGGAGTACGAGAACCGACCGGTGAGTTTTTACAGCCTTCAGATGTTAACTGACCCTGACCCTGAATAAAGAAAAGTTCAGGATGAGTTTAAAAGAGTCAGAAAACTGTAGAAGAAGAAGAAGGTGGTTCTGAAATATCACCAAGTGAAGTTTGTACTCGAGGCTCCATGGAAACAATGACAATACAACAAAAACTACATTTTAATCTGTATAACTCATGATGCTTTATAAAGAGGAACAGGACTTCATCCCCACGGGAGAAATAAAGGACTTCTTCTTACTCTGTGAGCGATAAAAAGGAGAAACATCTCTCGCTTTGATTAAGAAAACGTGGACAGAATCTCAGGCTTGTTTTATTCACTTAACTTTTCCATCCAAATTTTTTGTTTTTTTTATCCCAAACAATCATCTCCAGATAGCAACTCTCTGACTGAGGTTTTTATTTCAAATCAGCTGTTCAACCCAAAGAAGGCCAAACAGTTCAATCAGTCCTTCATAACAAAGATCGCTTCATGAAAGGGAATGTTCCTATGACTCTGACGTCTGGTATGATCTCGATTGAATCTGCCAAAAGCTAAACTGTAGGATCAGAAATATTCCACAGAATCAAAGACTCAGATCTGGATTTTATACGTTTCCATTCCCCCTGCAGCGATTCACTGTTTTGCACATCCATGCTGCAGTTCTTAACATGGATGCGCCACAGTTTCTCTTCAGTGTTTCTCTTTGTTGATGTTTTTATTGGTAGTTACCGCATTGCAGGTGCGGCTCTACCTGCTCAGACACTTTCTAAAGCATCGCCTCAGGTTACACTTTTTGTCACGACCTGACCGCCACACGCAGAGGAACAGCTTGTTTTCCTGATCTCTGGCATTTAACATTCTTTTATCTCTTTTTTGCTCAGTTGGTGTTTAAGCTCCAGACGAAGAACAAAGTGGATCATTTTTTGGAGGCTTGTTCGCGGGAGGAGAGAGATGATTGGGCGGATGACATCACCGCCGCAGTCGACAAACTCCGGACGGCTGCAGGCGGGAAGGTGAGCGACCAGGAAGCCCCCGGTGGATCCCACTTACACGACATCAACTTGAGGTAACACACAGACCCTTTCACTGCCTCTCCCTGCACACTGCTGGCTCTTTTTTTATCCATGCAGATTTCTCTTAATTACAATAAAATACTGTATTTTATATTTCTGGTTATTACTGCTGAAAGTCCTGTTTCTCTGTCTCACAGCAAAGTGCTGGACGCCATGTACGACGTCCACAACGGCATCAAAATGAGCAACCACGTGGAGCATGGCAGCACTTACAGCAACTGTTTCTCAGGTGAGCATCTCTTCTCTTTGTCTGGAAACAAACCACATGCATCCTCCTTAATGATCAGATTTTAAAGCGTTAATTATATTTGTAGATCTCTCTCTGTATATAATGTGTATCTTTGGGTTAATATATCCAGTTTCAGTAAGTTTTAGAGAATGCACAGACATTTCTGAATGTGCCGTCCCTGCAGGTTCAGCCGTGGTGGACTGGCTGGTGTTCATGCAGCTGGTTCTGACCCGGGTGGAGGCCATGACGCTGGCCTCAGCCCTGCTGGAGGAGGGTTTCCTGCGCACCGTGGGCATGAGGAGCGTGGAGGCTCTCCGCACCGCCGGCCTCAGTGAGCAGTTCATGGACGACTCCACGGCGCTGTACAGCTTTGTGAGTATCAATTCTACAATTGACTTAGCAGGCGCTTTTCTCCAAAGCGACGTACATCAGAGAGTAAGAACAACACAAGAGAGGATCTAAAGGGAACAATGTGAGTAAGAGCAAACGATCAGCTTTGAGTCTGATTGGACACACAGGTGCTGACAGGAAGTGACCAGAGGCAAAGCACAACATTGAGGGCAGTTCTTGAGAGCTCTAATCAGTATAGAAACCATCTTATAAGTCGTCGTTATCAAACAAAAACCATCGTCATTACCATCATCATCATCAATAATATGGAGACCATCATCATTAAGTTAGTAGGTATTCATAAAGAGCTGGGTCTTTAGCTTTTTCTTAAAGGTGCAGAGGGACTCTGCAGATCACATGGAGTTTGGAAGTTCATTCCACCATCAGGAAGTCTATGTGCATCCTCATCCAGCACGTACTGACCTGAAGATTTCAAATCACAAACATTATTCACAGATTTTCAGTGATTTTCTACATCGCTGAGATCTGAGTTTTGCAGGTCGGAGTGGTTATAACTCACATCATGTTTCTTTTTGATCTCAGTCTGACAGTTTAAAGAAGAGAGGAAGCGTGAAGGCTGAGACGTCGCTGTCCGCCGTGGAGCTGAGTGGAAAAGTGACAAAGAGAGGCTACCTGCTGAAACAGGTAATAAACTTTTATGAGCTCTTAAGATGCAGAAAGGGGTACCATTACCTCATATTTATTTTTTACAAATGAATTAATCTGAACAAATAACAGACGTGCTGCGTCTTTAAACACAGGGACACAGAAGGAAGAACTGGAAGGTTCGACTGTTTGTGCTGCGTTCAGAGCCGGCGTTCCTTCACTACTACGATCCCACCAAGGTGAGTTTGTAAATCACATCTTTTTCTTTTATAAATCATGTTGAAAAGAAAAATCCTGCACACAACTCTGGCTTGGTATCGCCAATTTATTAGAAATAATGATAGTTTGATGTCCTACGCACCTTCTTCATGAGATAGTTGGATGTGGGAACACCTCCTTTAAAACATTTATATAAGTCATAACAAAGAGGCCACAACTAGAGGACTTGAAACAAACCTCTATATGACGACACTGAACAGAAGAGACCAACCCAAACAAATCAGCTGTTTGGTTTGTCTAAGCCTCAAGACATCTATGATTTATAAGAGTGTCACAGATCTGACTCAGCTTCATCCACTTCCTGTCTTCAGGATGACATCAGCCCTGTGGGCGGCTTCTCTCTGCGGAGCTGTCTGGTTTCCTCCCTGGGCGATAACGGAGTTCCTTCAGGTGAGTCATCGTCTCAAAGATCATTTACATCAGACACATGAACGTTTTTTTTAAACAGGATGTTTGGAGAAATAATTACAGAGTTAGAGGTGTGATGAGCAGAAATCATTTAAATCCATGCATGTAATCACCACAACTCATGAAATAGTTAAGCATGACACACATTTTGGAAAGTGTTGCGTTTTTAATCCTGATGAAACGTGAGACGACTTTCATGACTGTCCTAGATCAATGAAAAATGTGTGTTTTTTCAGTTAAAGGCCCTGCTCAGAACAGGCTGTTTCTGTGTCTGTACCTTTAAATATGTAAATGAGCTGTGTCTGACACGCCCCTCTCTGGAAGGGCTTGGTGTACTCGGTCTTTCTCGCTCCATGTCCTATTGTTTACAGTAAGAAGGCAGACTCAGAGGGCAGAACAAACACCTAGCTGTGGGAGTGTCACCCACCTGGGGGAGGGGCTACTGCCCTTTGTGATGTCATGAAGGGAAAATCTCCAAATGGCCTGTTTGAGCACACATTTTCTGAAAAATGGAGTAGGGAAAAGACTGAGAGGATGGACTTTTCTCATCATTGGGGGATTTGTAGACGGACTAGAGACACATGTTAGAGTTAAAGAAACATGGGGAAGTTTAATTTGCATAATATGTGACCTTTAATGTAAACAATCTTTCTTCCTATTTAAGTTTCCTGATTTGTGAACTTTCAAAATGAAGACGTGTCTCATGCTGAGATGTAACGTTACTGTTTTCTGCTTTTATGTGTCCGTCAGTTCATCAATCAGGTCACTCCTAATATACATAAACCTTATCGACTCCGATCTTTCCTCCCCTGCAGGTGTGAAAGGAAACATTCAAGGCAACCTGTTTAAGATCATCACTCAGGCAGACACACATTACTTCATCCAGGCTCCGACTCGCCAGGAGAAGATGGACTGGATCGATGCAATCAGAGCGCTAACATAAAACTTCATCAACTATAGATGAAGGTTCGTTTGTAAAGCCTGGGAAAAAAGACATAGCACGTTGTTTAAGACTGAACTGTGACAGGAGCCGGCAACTTTGTAAAGTTATGATTTGTAAATGTGAACCACTGCAACTGAATTCTTTGTTGTCTTATAAGCCCATGAGGGTTGGGCACTTTGTGTGCATGACAAGAAAATAAATTACTCAAATCAAATCAAATATAGAGACGACTGAAACTACACATTCTATGAATGTTTTTTGTAGCAGCAGACAGATAAAGATGCACTTTAAATAAAAATGTTTATAGTTATATAATATGTTTTTTAAAGCTTGATTTAACTGTATTTTAAAGTTCTTGCTTGGAGGGTTTAAAAGCCCAACAGTTGTAACAATTTCTCTTTTCATTAAAGCTCCTATATCCTCCTCATGTTCATCTCTCATGTCATCAGTGTGTGAAACCTTTAGAGCAGATTTACATGATCTGATTTATCTCAAACTGACGTCAGTAAAAACCCTCATTTCAGTCTCTGCCTGAAACAGTTCATTTCAGCTACTGTCTCTTTAAGACCCCCCTCCCCTCATGACCACTCTCTTTTGATTGGCCAGCTCTCTGGAAGTCAGAACGCTGCAGGGCTGCCAGGGGAGGGCTGCTCTCCAGGTCTGGGTGAAGAGAGTCTATGTAAGAGGTTTCAGAGTCTTGAAGCCGTCTGCTGAAAGTCTTGTTTTTTATATCGGGGAACTATGGCGTGATTTACAGAACGTGGCGTTTAGCGCCCTCTGCTGACTCATCCTGGGATTACTCCAACAAACGATTACCTCCTGATTTGAAACTTTGACCACGTTTAGTTTGGACATCCAGCATTGTAACACTATATGAGAGTTTAAAATGCGGGTCAGCAGAGCAGGTCGACTTTAAATAATGTTATTATAAAATATGTAAGGCCATATTACATGACCTCTGACACCCGCAGTCTTACATTTAACTTGGTGACCCCTGAAGAGGTCTGAAGCTGAGTATTGCAACATGGTTTTCCATCAGGAAGTACAGAGACAGGACCAGTCTATAGAGGTGTAGTTCAGACGGGCACTCCCAGCTGAATCGACTTTTCATCTGAGTGACTCACACTGAGCTGGTGTTGGTTCAGAGTTGAGTTCCACTGAAATCATTAATGACACAACAGTTACAAAACCTCAGCGACACGTGATGCTCTCTACAGTCGATGTTGGACTAAGGAGCGGTAACTCAACCACGAGGCAGGAAACGATGAATAATAACAACTAAAGTGATTTATTGCAGTGAAGTCGATATGAAACATTTACATAAAAAGTGCTAAGATAGAGAAAAAATACACAAACAAAGTGATAATAACACAATGTGTGACATAATCCAGGAGGTTAAATCAGAATTACACGGATTGGATTACTGGCATGCACTAACGTGGGCTACGGAGTAGTTTTTACATTATTTACTGTTTTCACACGGCGGCCATTTTCCTCTGACGTCACGCATAAATGGACTGGCTCACATGATGTTCTGTTGTTTTACTCAGATTCAGGTTTTAATGCTAACTTTTCTGGATTGAGATGCAACTGACAGGAAGATGGATAATGCAAATCTGGAGGGATGTTGGGCCACATGTTAGGTTTATCAATGTTAACTCACAGCTAGCTTAACAGCATCAGGCTATTCTAGCGAGGTTTAGCGAGGAAGAAGTTGAATGCTAACCTTACCTCTAGCTTTAGCAAAACTGGAGCGCCATTCAGCCAAAGTTGCTAACTTTAGGATTGAGCCCCTCTTTAGTTAGCCAGTAAGAAGCTAAATGCTAACTTTGCCATTTTGAAAAACAGGTTAAGGAAAGCTTATGGTGTGTTCCATTTGATCTCAGAAGTCGGGAAAATTAGGGGTGCAGGTCTGATATGTCATCAGAAACGCCCCTTGAAGTCGGAAGTCCGACTTGGAAAATTGAAGAACCTTCAGTAGCCCGAGTTTAAAATCCAACATGGCTGCTAAGGGCGTCAACAGTAAAGTCTAAGCTGTAACTATTGTAGCTGCTTAGTCCTCTTTTTGTGTTATTAAATAAGTAAAAGTTCTCTCTCTGGACGTGTTGTCATGTTAGTTTAGTCTGAAGTTATCCCGTAGTGTGTTATCGCCTGGTAGCTAACAAAACAAACTCCTGGAGGCGTCCATGTCGCTTGTCTGACTTGTTGCCAACTCGTAACTGGAACACGTTTAACACAGGTGTGACGTCATTCCTGGCTCCAATAACCGAGGTTAATGGAACGCACCAATCCTGTCCAGCTAACATCAACATTAGCTATGCTCTCGCTCAGGTTTGTTTAAGTTTGAACTTACCATGTAAGAGTGGGGTTTGAATGCTAACTTAAAACCAAACATGAGTATGCCTGTAAACGTTTTTCATTCTGCTTTAAATAATAACTTGAGCTGGACGTCACAGGAAAACGGCTGCCGTGTGAACGCGGTGAATGAATATTGTTACAGTACTTAGTCGGGCACAGGATGACAATCAATTGTTTGTGTGAACATTCATCTTCATGCAGGCGCTCGTAAACGTTAAGTGCTTTCAAAAGTTAACTCCAGAGAAATCAAAGGCATTGGTCTGAGATTTAAAAGCACCAGGAAACTGATGCAGCCACACATCACTTTGTTCATTTAGGGAAAATGTTATAGCTTCGACCTCATCAGCTTTAAAACTCATTTCAAATCACATTCTTCGGTTTATGTAAGACATTGATGACTGTCGGTCTTTCTCTTCAAGTCTCTAAATAAGTAATCTAGTGAAGGCACTTTGTCTTAACACGTGATTACGAGGCAGGTTTATCTTCCATCATGGGTTACTTTATTCTCTCAAAAAACTGGCTCTATTCTAAACTCTGACTGTCCCAGGACGTCCCTATGTACGCTGCTGTTCTCTGTCGCTGGTGTTAGGCCACCTTGGTAAGCTGTAGATCTCCAAAGACTCGTAAGGCAGTGAGGGAGGCGAGCGGGGCGATCCGGTGGGTGAAGCCGCAGAGGGGCTGACCGTCCACCAGGATGCGAAACTGCTGGTGCTCGCACACGATCTCCATCTAAGAGGCCGAGGGGAGGAAGAGGAGAAGGTCACATTTCTTAAATTTGAAGAAAAACTCACATAATGTACCACCGACCAGTCCAGGGTGTAACCCCGCCTCTCGCCCAATGACAGCGGGTATAGGCTCCAGCCCCCCCGCGACCCCGAACAACAAAAAGCGTTATAGATAATGGATTTCTAAATGCATTGCAAACACTTAAAAAGTAATTCAATTGGCTTTGAAACAGTGAACGAACAGAGTTTTTAAAAGTTACCTTGAAGGATTCTCCAGCTGCAAAAGGAAAGAAGGAAAGGTTGTTTTCTGCCTTTCCCCACTTTCCAGCCATGCGGGCGTTACGTTGGACGGCTTTGTCCATGAAGCTGATCTTCAGCTGGAGACCCACGTCGCCCTCCTCCTCTTCCTCCTGAGGGTGACTGGACAGAGTCACCTCCATGCTGCTCAGACATGAAAACAGAAAACTCCAGTTTATTACACACAAACATGAATATGAGGAACCTTTATTTTAATATTTTCTCCTCATGTCACTTCAAATTTCTCAACATCTCAGAGGGAAATGTTTTAAAGAATTAAGCTTCATTATTGGTGGATGTTTAAAGGAGCAATATGTAACTCTGACCCTAGTGGTTAAAATGGGTACTGCAGTCCAGATTTTAAACATCATAGAGAGCTGTCTCCCCCCCCCTCCCCTCTAGAGTGGATGCTCACTCAGGTCACCATGTGGTGGACTCTGAAGCTTCAGTGTTTATCCAGCTCTGCATGGGTCTGTAAACCTTTCTGTGTTCTAACCTCTCTCCATTTTTCAAAAGCATCTCCAATATTGATCCTAGTTTGAGCACGTTTCTGCTCGTGGAGCTTATTAGAAACATGCAGAGGCTTTTTAGGTCGGGTACAATCACTTCTATCTGAACCACTTCTCTTGACCGCTTCCATCACTGCAACACCTGTTGACCTGATAACTGCTCTCATATCTGGCAAACCGAGGGGCGTCCAAAACGGCCGTGTGGGGGTGTGTCTTAAAAGCGCCTACCTTCTCTGGTCCAAACAAATCCAGAGCATTCAGGAGCAGAATCTAAAGTTAGAAGGAGGACATACTGGCTGCTGCATTGTTGTCAGAGAAGCCAGCACTTCAGCATGTTTCCTTAATGATCAGAGAGTAAGATACCTTTATCATCTCACTCTCTACACAGCTCACTGATTGGATCTTTACTAAAACTTTTCAGATCAAGTTTCCAGAGTCTTTAATAAAATAATGTGTCTCTCTGCTCTCATGAGTTTTTCTTTTTTACCAACAATAACATTAAAGTACTACTAACATAATTATATGATAGATAATAATGTTACAACAATAAAAGTGTATAGCCGGATTGTATTCTGGGTAATTTTACATGAGAAGTTAGATTTATTTAGAAACATAAATGTTGCATTCACGGTCCTTTGGGAGCATTCGTCCCGGAATCCCTCTTGATGTTTTCTGCAGCTAAAAATAAGTTTCCTGCTCGCAAAACAAGTTCTGCATCACAGTTTGTTTTCCCAGCTTCTCTGTCATCCTCAATTTAACTGACGACTGAGTGAGTAAAGAACACTCTGATGTTATCAACAGGAGAAAGTCCAGCATGACTCTTCACATTTCATGGGATTTTGCAACTCTCCCACGCACATTCAGATCAACCTATAATTAGGAAACTCACTGAGTGGCATTACAAAGATGTTTTTTCTTTCCAAAACGGGGAAGAGCTGGGAGCTTTGCGTGCATTCAAACACTAACAGCTGCATATCTGCCTTTAAAGGCTGCTTTAAAACAAGCAAAGTGCATTTTTTTCACCCCTTAATTCAATTAGCTGCCACGTCATATGCGCAACAGGACATCCATGATGTAAAATTCTTAAACACTCTTTATGCGAGAATGAAAACAGGTGTTTGCTCTCACCTTTTGGGCTTTTTGTTGATGATTCCCATCACAACCAGCTTCATTGAAGGCCGCAGCCCGCCCTTTATCTCTCCGGTGTACTCCCCCTGAAACAATGGAGATGTTAGAGCAGATGAGGAGGCCTGCACCGCCACATCTCACAGCACAGTGAGCATTTCTCGGAGGATGTGCTTCTTCAGTCATGCATCCTGCAGGAGTCTTCAGCTGCCACCTATCGCCTCAAACAAAAGCTTTATTGTTCCACAATTTCTAACAGTCAGTGACTCAGCTGGACAAACTATCTGCATTTTCTAATCCAAGTGAGCAACCCAGGAGTGAAATCTCTGAATGAAATGTTGCCATGCAAGCCGCAAATCCGCAAAAAGCGCAGCTACATACATGCTCTTTCTTGTCCTTTTCTTCCATTCCACTCAGGGCGTGATGCGGTGTGGAGGTTTCGAGGCGCTGATGCCAACTGAGCACTGACTGACTGACTCTGCCTCCAGCTGGCAAACCCCGCCTGCACCACGTTGTCATAGAGACAGGCTCCCAGTTTAGCAGTGGGGAAGATGGGAGACGCTCAGAGGAGGGGAGAGAAAGGGGAGGAGGGGGGGGGATAAATTACGATACATGATGAACTGATATTATTCAATGTAAAGCCCAAAAACTCGAGAGAAAAGTTAATTAAATATATTGTGTGAACATGTTGAGTGTTCTCAAATCCACAATGATTAAGTATGTTTCTAATTAAAAAAGTTTGAATTTCTTTAAATAATGACATGATCATCATGATGGATGTGGTGAGATAAGCGACACAAAGACCAACAGCCCATTCTATATATGGCAACAGCTTCTTTAGAAACCTAACTGCTGATTGGACAAATGACCTCAGATATCTGTTTGATGTGAACCTCCTCCATGTCTGGTGAAGTCTAAACTCTGCATGCAGAGGACGCTGAGGGTCTTCCAGGACGACCTTTGCCTTCTGATTGGCTCTTGAAAAATACAACCAAGATCATTCAAGTCAGCGCCAACAATCTTGTAAAGTTTAATATTATTTAATATTTCCCTTGCTGAGGTTACCAAACCAACTGATCAGCAAGAGAGTTAAAATGGACTCAATAGAACTGACTCTCAGCACAGAAGCACAGAAAACCCCAAAATGAACCTTTATAAAATGTAGATCTTGGAATAACACATTTGGATGTCAGGGTGCAGGTGGGGACGTGGGGTAAACATGTGATAAAAGTCTTGGTTTTGCAATAAAGACTAATTAAATAAAGTGAAAATGAGATAATAAAAACAAACAAAACAAGTAACAGTGTCTGAAAAGGAGTAGGTATTAGTAAAACTTAACTCCTGCTTTCTCAGCTTTCTTTAATTAATTCAAAACTGATTTACAACTAATATACAGAGTGTCCAAAGTTTATATGCCTCATTCATTAATAAATAACAACCTCAGCGTATTTCCATCCAGGGTTATTGTGGCTCTGTCTTCCTTTGCAGCGCTGCGGGGGACTGAAGACGGGAGTGAAGCTGTGACGCGCTGTCGTTAGAAATGACTTCCAGATCCAACATGCTTTAGTCCTTTATTCTTCCAAAACAAAACAAGACACTACAAACGCTGTTTTCGGATCGCAGTGCAGTGTAGTGTGGCGGTCAACAGAAACTGTCTCTTCCCACGCTCACCCCTCTCTCCATCCAAGCCAAAAACCAGGTGAACAGGTGAGTGCGGCCCATATGATCACTGCCATCACCACGAGATTTCCGGTGAACACACCCACCACCAGGAACAAGCAGACCGTAAACAATAAACAAATCAGTAAACAACCCATGACACCAAATACACAATCAACTTACATTTATGGCTCCTACAAGGGTTACAAAATTAATATGAACACCCCTAACTTTTCCTCTCTGTATACCTGCCAAAAATAAATGTTTGTAAAGTTTTTAATTGTTTATAATCTATTTTATGATAATACCTACTTTTGCTTGTCATTTGTTTTAAAAATAGATTTTTCCACAGCGTTTTGTTGTTTTGCAGTTTATTTATGTAGCGGTTTGATTTCCGACAGCACCTGAAGGCAGCATCAAAACAAGAAAAAAGCGAACTCGGCTCGCGCTTCAGGAACGCCCACTTGTCTTCCAGCCTCCAGCTCGTGCCAACCTTTGACCAACCAGCGACGGAGTATAATCTGATTCTGTCACATGACCTGCGTTAGCATGCAGCTAGCCGCCTAGCATAACAGCGGAGAGCACGGAGTGTAAATAACTCGCAGTTTCAGGAAAAACAGCGCGAAGAAATGAGTAAGTGACGTTTTTAAATACTCACTAACTTACATACGGGTTATAATGTGCTAACGGGAGCTGTTACGGAAGTTAGCGGGCTTCATCTGCATTCACAGACAGTCAGCATTATTTGTAGCTAATGCTAATGCTAACGGGTGACAGTGTGTGTCTGTCAGCTGTGAAAGAGACGACAGGTAAACACAGGACAGGTGAGCAGCTCAGCACGGAGTTTGTGTCTCAGTGTGTTTGTTTTGTTTGCTCAGAGGAGTTCAAACAGTTTAAAGTTAAAGATAAACAAACAAACAAACAAACAAACAAACAAACACTTTATTGATCCTGAAGAAAGTTAAAGAATCCAGCAGCAGCTTTTCAAAACCTCACCTGACCTGAGGCATCGAACAACACCCGCTGGTCCACCTCACACATTTATTTATTCTCTTTTATATGTTAAGCAGGTTACCAGCAGCACAAACAAACAGATCAGACTAACATCTGTTGTTTGTGAAGGTTTCCCACAAACACATCAGGGAGAACATCTGCACGTCATCTAACACCCTCTTCAAATCATCCAATGAGAGCAGCTCGTTAAGTCTCACATCTTTGTTCCAGGAGTGAGAATAGAAAACTACACAATATAAAGAAGTACTGATCAGACGAGTCGAGCTGCAGGTCCATCAGAGTCTGAGAGGAGGTCGTCTCAAAGTCATCTCAAGTCACATTTATTTATAAAGCACATTTAAAAACAGCAGCAGCTGACCAACGTGATGTACAATACATCACAGAAACAGTTTACAGGGGATTACAACATATACAAAAAACACAAAATAAAATACGATAGGAGAGATAATGAAAGCAATAACTGGAATCTGAAAGAACCGTGGATTCAGGACCAGGGGACTCAAATGCTAAAATATAAAAGTAAGTCTTTAGAAGGGACTTAAAGGAGTCAGGAGAGGATGCAGACCTGATGGGAAGACGGAGGCTGTTCCATAGTTTTGGGGCTTTCACTGAAAAAGCACGATCTCCTCATCAAAGAGCGTTTTTCTTTCTGCTTCAGGTGACGGAAGCTCCAGTTTCCTCCTCGTCTGTTTGGAAGTGAAGGCGTCTCTCCGTTTGTGAGCGTCATGCATCCGTTCGGCTGCGAGGCGGAGACCTCCCTCCAGGACCTGTTTGAGTACTTCAAGCGATGCCTGCAGCACGCCGAGTGGGAGCTGGCCAGCGCCTGCGTGCCTCAGCTGGTCCACTCGGCAGGCGGACTCTCAGAAAACCTACGAGACATAATCAGAGCGATAATCTGCCATCCCTACAGTCTACAGTGAGTACTGAGCTCTCAACATAAACCCAGTTTATTTATCTGTATTACTGGTGCTGTTTATTAATGTGTTGTTTTTATAGATGGGAGTCGGTGGGGAGTCCACACAGACTGGCCTGGTTTTGGCTTCAGGTTTTGGAGAAATGGACCGAAGAGAAGGTGAGATAAATGAAGAAGTGTTCCTCTCTTTCATGTGTTTTGTAAAGTAATCTGTAGGCCGCATGTTGGTGTAAAGTTCAGCTAAATGTTTGACACATTTTTCTTTGGCTGCTGCACAAAAAATATAGAAAGAGGAAAGGAAGACAGAGTCGGCTCATCAGAAGCTGCTTTGCTTCAGATTTAAGAGAATTTCTCACCATGTCTGACGTTCTTTGTCAGTTCAGTTCAGTTCAGATCTTTATTGTCCCTGGAAGGGAAATTTGATTTGCAGCAGTGGACACAGAAACACAACAGATAAACAGACAAAGGACAGTGCAACACAACCTGATGAAATACAACCAAGAAATATCAAATATAAAAACTCACTGTTTGTTTGGAAGTTTCACTCAAATGGTATAAATAAATAAATAAATGAATATAAAGTGCAATAGCTCTGCTTGAAAGTGCAGTCAAGGCTTTAAAGAAGATTAAGAGCATTAATTGCATGAGGAACATATTTAAATTTAAATGTGTTTGCCTTAGCCCTGGGCAGCCTGAACCTTCGACTTGAGGGGAGAAGAACAGATTCCTCTAAGAGAGGACGACAGTCAGAGCTGGACAAGATAGACTTTGCTTTCCTAACAACTTGTCTGTTCCAGATATCTGACAATGAAAGCTGCTGAGTGCCGATTGTTTTACTGGCTGTATTGACGATACTGGAAAGACGATTTTTGTTCTGAACAGAAAGGTTACCATACCATGAGATAAAACAAAAGGTTAAAAGGTTGTCCGACTATAGTTTTCCTTTTTCCTGATTTAAAAAAAACAAGAAATGACTCCATTTTGGCGGCCTTGGACTTTTTTGTTGTTGTCGCTGCGGTAACAAAACCGATATTTATGTAATTCAGTATTTGTAATAACGTATCCAAGTTTAAATTTGTGTTATTGTTACGATCACAGTTGTTATATTATGTTTTTTTTGTTGTGTTAATTTGAAACCCCATAACAGTATAAATAAATCCGGCCCTCAAGCCTTTCAGACATGAGTGTTTTTAAAATGTGTTTTTTAAAGTGAAACTTTGAATCTCTGCTCTCGTCTTCTCTCCTCTTCAGGTCCCGTCAAACACCAGGAGAGAGCTGGAGTTCCTGCTGCTTCTGGAGGAGCTCGGGTCAGAAGGCGTCCCGGAGTCTGCTCTCAAGGTCATTTAGATTTTTAACTGTATCTGTAAATAAACTGTAAGCTGGTCGTTAAGCAGCAGAAACTAGATAAGAAGGTGTTGTTAGTCAGGTGAGGACCAGGAGGAGACCCCGTGTCCACCTGGTGTTTTTTTCTGGGCAGAAAAGCGCTGACTGTGCGCTCAGGAGTTCTTGCATGAAGCGTTTGTGCGCTGAGAATAAAAACACTGCACGTCCGTCCTGTCTCTATGACAACAGTCTGTTGACAATGGCCGCTGTATGACCGACACTGCTCCATTACTTTTTACTGCATGTTTTATATTTGAGATCGTTTACTTCCTGATCAGATTTTCAACTTGAAGTGCCGCACAAAAAAAGGCAGAGTGCTCAGAAAAAAATATCCTTAGAATTCTGGATTGTGTGATTTACTGTTTGTCTCTCTGCAGGAGTTACACCGGGCCTTTTTGGAGACCACGTCTGAGCAAGAAGCCGTCGATGGTTCGAGGTCGACTGATGACGCTGTCAAGTCCTGCCTGCAGACGTTACTGGAGAAAAAGAAACCGAGACTCGCACAATCTCTGGCTCATTTCTTACAGGTAGAGTAGAACTCATATATATATATATATATATATA